AAAATGAGGTCAAGGTCAAATAAAACCTGCAAGACTGACATGTACATCATAGAATATTTCCATACACCAAATATAGTTGTCTTATTGCATATAGTATAAGAAAAAAGACCAAAACTCAAAAACTGAACTTTGACCACTGAACCATGAAAATGAGGTCAAAGTCAGATGACACCTGCCAGTTGGACATGTACACCTTACAATCATTCCATACACCAAATATAGAAGCCCTATTGCATAAAGTATAAGAAAAATGGACCAAAACACAAAAACTAAACTATTACCACTGAACCATGAAAATGAGGTCAAGGTCAGATGACACCTGCCAGCTAGACATGTACACCTTACAATCATTCCATACACCAAATATAGTAGACCTATTGCATACAGTATAAGAAAAACAGACCAAAACACAAAATCTTAACTATAACCACTGAACCATGAAAATGAGGTCAAGGTCAGATGACACCTGCCAGTTGGACATGTACACCTTACAGTCCTTCCATACACCGAATATACTAGACCTATTGCTTATAGTATCTGAGATATGGACTTGACCACCAAAACTTAACCTTGTTCACTGATCCATGAAATGAGGTCGAGGTCAAGTGAAAACTGTCTGACGGGCATGAGGACCTTGCAAAGTACACACATACCAAATATAGTTATCCTATTACTTATAATAAGAGAGAATTTAACATTACAAAAAATCTGAACTTTTTTTTCAAGTAGTCACTGAACCATGAAAATGAGGTCAAGGTCATTGGACATGTGACTGACGGAAACTTCGTAACATGAGGCATCCATATACAAAGTATGAAGCATCCAGGTCTTCCACCTTCTAAAATATAAAGCTTTTAAGAAGTTAGCTAACGCCGCCACCGCCGCCGGATCACTATCCCTATGTCGAGCTTTCTGCGACAAAAGTCGCAGGCTCGACAAAAATGAATGTTTCACAATTGAATAAATAAGGATTTTCCTACTTGTACCCCATTAACTACAATATAATTCACACATGTATCATGGGGATACTTCAGGATTGGCCTTTAATCATAAATCAATTAGGTTTTGACCAGTAAGAAAGCATTCCAATTCAGCAATTCTAAATATATAAAGAAAATGCACACCCTATGCATCAAAAATCAGATCTGGCAGGGAAATGTTATATCATTATTGACCTTGCTGTAAGTCAGTTGCTACTGATATGGTCAAAACTCGGCCCACCATGATAAACCTTTACTATTAATGATCTCAGAAGTTTAATTACACATTGCATTTACTTTTTTCAAAATGGATTTTATTCTTTCAGTATATAAAATATATTTATAAAATATATTTTTTTGATTTTTGCTTTGTTACAAAAAGTAAGTTATGCATGTGTACACAAAATGATTAGTTGGTCAGTCTAGAGGATCCTTATGGGGGATTTCTAGAATTATAATTGTATACAATGACAATATGGTGTTTTACACAAAGTAGATTTTTTTCATTTTTTGCAGTTTGAAAATCAAATATTTAATTTGTATTTTCTTTTAAAAAGAATTCATATTTAAACATTCTCCTCAAGAAATTCTAGTATAAACATCAGCAACGATTTATTGTTGTACAATTATATTTGTTAAATATCTGTACATTTATATTTTGATTCCCTCTATAGCTCCAAATAGTTGTTTTGTTTTTTTTTCTCCTGGCAGCTCCAATACAGAAATGCATTTTTATTTGGAATTCATTATCTTCATTTTTGTCGAGCCTGCGACTTTTGACGCAGAAAGCTCGACATAGGGATAGTGATCCGGCTTCGGCGGCGGCGACATTAGCTAACTTCTTAAAAGCTTTATATTTTAGAAGGTGGAAGACCTGGATGCTTCATACTTTGTATATAGATGCCTTATGTTACGAAGTTTCCATCTGTCACATGTCCATTGTCCTTGGCCTCATTTTCATGGTTCAGTGACTACTTGAAAAAAAAGTTAAGATTTTTTGTAATGTTAATTTCTCTCTTATTATGAGTAATAGGATAACTATATTTGGTATGTGCGTACCTTGCAAGGTCCTCATGCCCGTCAGACAGTTTACACTTGACCTCGAACTCTTTTCATGGATCAGTGAACAAGGTTAAGTTTTGGTGGTCAAGTCCATATCTCAGATACTAGAAGCAACAGGTCTAGCATATTCGGTGTATGGAAGGACTGTAAGGTGTACATGTCCAACTGGCAGGTGTCATCTGACCTTGACCTCATTTTCATGGTTCAGTAGTTATAGTTAAGTTTTTGTGTTTTGGTCTGTTTTTCTTATACTGTATGCAATAGGTCTACTATATTTGGTGTATGGAATGATTGTAAGGTGTACATGTCTAGCTGGCATGTGTCTTCTGACCTTGACCTCATTTTCATGGTTCAGTGGTCAAAGTTATGTTTTTGGGTTTTGGTCTTTTTTTCTAATACTATATGCAATAGGTCATCTATATTTGGTGTATGGAAATATTTTATGATGTACATGTCAGTCTCACAGGTTTTATTTGACCTTGACTTCATTTTCACGGTTCATTGCTCAGTGTTAAGTTTTTGTGTTTTGGTATGTTTTTTTCATACTATAAGCAATAGGTCAACTATATTTGTTGTATGGAAGGATTGCAAGCTGTACATGTCTGCCTGGCATGGTTCATCTGACCTTGACCTCATTTTCATGGTTCATTGGTTAATGTTAAGTTTTCATGGTTACCCGTATAAACTCGCCTAATAGTCGATCCTACTATAAGTCGGGGGCCCTTTTCAGCTCCAAATTCTAAGGATTTAGTCTTGACCCTCGTATAAGTCGGACAAAATTTGGGCATTTTTTTTTCAGCTGACAGTAACTGAACGCCGGTAAATCCAATGCAAATCCAGGAACAATATTCATTTCTGCATTAATGTTTGTTTGGTTTGAATTTAGTTGATGCTCATCATGATAATTTATATTGCTGTTAATAATAAAGATTTATTCATTTCTCTTGTTTTGTTCACTGTTCAAATGTTAGATTAGCCATGTGTTGTTTACATAATGCATCAATGATTTTGTAGGGTATGACTAACAACCTATTGTTTGAGAAAAGCGAATATAAACCAATGTGAACCTGAAAAATTTAAAGTCAATCAACACTTGATGAAAATATTTTTCACAGCATACATAACTCGGTGTTAAATGAGCATGTACACTTCATAATTCTTATTATATTGTGATGATTAAAGGATTAAAAAAATTAAGTGAAGCTAATCAATATATTAAAATAACTAACTCCAACTCATTAGTGTCATCTGTTTACCTATCACTGATAGTTTTCAATCTTTAGTGAATACAACTCTTTGTCTCTTAATTGGGGTTATCAATGGATTATATTGGCTTGTCAATCAATTTTGTAATTTTTGTTTACCTGAGACACTATAATGAATAATATTTTGATTTTGGGAATGAATCTTAAAATTATTTTTTGATTATTATATGATTTATAAGAATTGAATTGATATCATGATATCACAAAAATGACACAATAACTCCGCTGAAAACATCCTTTCACATATTTGGTACATTGTTATCTCCTTTTCATTTTTGGTTCTTGGCTCTTCTTTTGGGTTTATAGGAAAACCATGTGACCATGAAAATCAATACACAAACCGGAAACAGTAGAATTTCAACACGAATTTGCAGAAAATGTTTACCAAAGAACAAATAAAACACAAAGACAGTATTGAAGTCATTTATTTTCAACAAAAACTTTTTATTTATTGATTTATGTAGGTTTGGCAATCAAAAACGTAGTTTTGACCAGGAAATTCACTCCTGACCACTTTTCTCAAGCTTGGATTTTTCCTCTGGTCGCTAGATCTCGTCTATTAGTCGGCCCCCCTCTCTGGATTATGAATTTTACTCCCAATTTTCCGACTAATAAGCGAGTAGGAACGGTAAGTGTGTTTCTTAGATACTATAAGCAATAGATCAACTATATTTAATGCCTAAATTGATTGTAAGGTGTACATGTCTGTCTGGCATGGATCATCTGACCTTGACCTCATTTTCATGGTTCATTGGTCAATGTTAAGTTTTCTTGTTTAAGACTGTTTCTGAGAAACAATAAGCAATAGGTCAACTATGTTTGGTTTATTGAATGATTGTAAGGTGTACATGTATTTCTCGTTTGGTTTATCTGACCTTGACCTCATTTTCTTGGATCATGTTAAGTTTATGTGTTACTTGTAGTAAAGCTTTGTATTTAGGACTATCAACATAAAATCAATGGTTAGTAAAGAAGGCGAGACATTTCAGCGTGTGCACTCTTGTTCATTATTTGTTCAAGTTTTTGTTAATTTGGCAGTTGACTGAAATTTTTAGAAAGACAATGTTATATCTTTTACACAGAAAAGGACACTTGTCTATGCTATCAAACTTTACACATGTTACACTGCTCCTAGTCGTCTGAATTCTTAATAAGATGAATAAATTAAAGATATAAAAAAAAAAAATTTCGCCAAAATTAGCATTTTCGTGAGGATATAAGTTTATAATAAATTCTTTAATATTACAATATACAATGTAATCATAAGTAATCCAAAGTAATCATGATTACTTTAAAGAAAAGTAAACTTATGTAATCGATTACATTTGAGTTTAGGTGTAATTGTAATGTAATTGATTACATTAAATTAGCAAAGTAATTGTAATTTAATCGATTATATTTTAAAGTAATGATTCCATCCCTGTGAGTGACTCAGCCTCTACTTTTCTGTTGAAATGCATTAAAATTATAGAAATTCCAGTTATTTTATATGGGTTATATAGGGGAAACTTTTTTCCTTCTTGAGGAAACATTATAAGATAGAATTGGTAAAATTCAATAGGCAAATTGCTTTTCATAAATACTTCTGAAATATCCATTAAAATTAGGGGGTCACAGACCTTATTTTCTTGAAAAATCAAAAAAAGCACATAGGGTATGCTTAGCATGACAATGATTCTTGTTATTTTTCCAGATTATACCAACAACTCGATCTGGATCAGGGAAGCAGCCAAGTGGACTTCAAGTAAGATTTATTGCTCAAATTTCACTTTATTATTATACATCTTATCATCTGCCCATATTTTTCCAAGGATTGAAATTTTTTTGCCAGGTTCAATCTCAGAATCAACCATCAATAAACATCAATAAATTTGTCAATTTTTTCATGGAATTTTTTTTTCTTTTTTCCATATTTGACTTATAAATGGACTTAGTTTTTTTTATTGTTAAAGAGGTAGTATCTGGATTTCACCAAAAAATTGCTTGACAATTTTTTTCAAGAATATAGTAATTTTTTCAAATGAAATACGAATGAAAGCTTTTTTGGTGCGAATCATTATGTTCTTTTTGCGATAATTTACTTTTTATCTTCAGAAAAAGAGTATATTGGGAAAATGAAATGAATTGAATTCGAATAATTTTTATACGCCCGTCAATTTTTGACGGGACGTATTATGGTATACAAATATCCGGTGTCCGTCCGTCTGTCTGTCCGTCTGTCCGTCTGTCTGTCTGGCGTAAACATGTCGCACCGTAACTTGAGAATAACTTATCCAAATTTCATGAAACTTAACATAGTTGTTTCTTATGATGGTCAAACGATCTGTATACTTTTTGGTGAAAATAAGATTAAAACTTTTTGAGTTACGGGACTAAGTAACTAAAACAGGTGTGTGTTTTTTTTCACATGTCGCGCCGTATCTCAAAAACAATTTATGATTATTGCTTAAAACTTTACACACTTCTTAGTTATATTAATCTTAAGATCTGTATACTTTTGTTGATGATTCAAAATTTTATTTTAGAGATATTGAGTATTTTGTTAAAAAAGGGGGAGGGGTTTTTCACATGTCGCGCCGTATCTCAAAAACAGTTTATGATTATTGCTTAAAACTTTACACACTTCTTAGTTATATTAACCTTAAGATCTGTATACTTTTTGGTGATGATTCAAAATTTTTTTTTTGAGTTATTGAGTATTTTGTAAAAAAAGGGGGAGGGGTTTTTCACATGTTGCGCCGTATCTCAAAAACGATTTATGATTATTGCTTAAAATTTTACACACTTCTTAGTTATATTAATCTAAAGATCTGTATACTTTTTGGTTTTGATTCAAAATTTTATTTTTCAGATATTGATTTTTTTTTTTTTAAAAGGGGGGGTTTTCACATGTCGAGCCGTATCTCAAAAACAATTTATGATTATTGCTTAAAATTTTACACACTTCTTAGTTATATTAATCTAAAGATCTGTATACTTTTTGGTTTTGATTCAAAATTTTATTTTAGAGATATTGAGTTTTTTGTAAAAAAAAAAGGGGGTTTTCGCATGTCACGCCGTATGTCAGAAACTATTTATGCTTATTGCATAAAAATTCACACACAAGACATCGGGCGTATCATGCACTCAAGGTGCAGCTGTTTATTTTCTTTTTATTTGTGAACATGTGTTTCAAGAAGGGGTAGTACATAGCTCATGATCAGGTCATGAGTGTACATTCTTGCAGGTATGTTTGTGTGACATTGCGAGCAATATTTTGTTTTAGTTTTTCCTTCCTGATGATTTTTAGAAAAACTAGGTCAATGAAATCTTCTCTAGTATTTGTATAAATATGAGTCCATTAAAATAGTGTTATTGCAATTTACAGGCGGAAACCCAGTTAAAATTAAACAAAAGAAATGAAACTCTTTGTTAGAGAAGGTAAAAAAGGCCAAGATGATAAATTTGACTTGTTTACACCTGTTTCTATGGGCTTTAAAAGTTTAATAAATGTGCCTAATTTAAGATTTTATGCATCTAATGTATGTGAAATTATGGTATGGAGCTTCGAGATATTTTGTAAAATTTTAAATTATAGACAAATTTTCACAAAACAGTCAATTGTGGTAGGTGCAAATACATGTGGATCTTTTTTGTGCATAAGCATAAATTCTGCCGAAAAAAATTCCAAAGAAAGATAATAGATTGATCTTTTTAAAGCATTAATTTGCATCTCTGCCCCCCCCAAACAATTTTTTGGGAAAAAATCCCCAAATTGGGCAATAATTTCATCGAGAGGAGAAAGACGAGTACACCTTTTTATGTAAAGGCATGTTTGAGTTGACTATACTGTCTTGAAAACATATAAAAGAAAATATTTGATACATCATCTCGCTTCAGATTCTATTATTTTTGTCGAGCCTGCGACTTTTGTCGCAGAAAGCTCGACATAGGGATAGCGATCCGGCGGCGGCGGCGGCGTTAGCTAACTTCTTAAAAGCTTTATATTTTAGAAGATGGAAGACCTGGATGCTTCATACTTTGTATATGGATGCCTCATGTTACGAAGTTTCCGTCAGTCACATGTCCAATGTCCTTGACCTCATTTTCATGGTTCAGTGACTACTTGAAAAAAAAGTTCAGATTTTTTGTAATGTTAAATTCTCTCTTATTATAAGTAATAGGATAACTATATTTGGTATGTGCGTACCTTGCAAGGTCCTCATGCCCGCCAGACAGTTTTCACTTGACCTCGACCTCGACCTCATTTCATGGATCAGTGAACAAGGTTAAGTTTTGGTGGTCAAGTCCATATCTCAGATACTATAAGCAATAGGTCTAGTATATTCGGTGTATGGAAGGACTGTAAGGTGTACATGTCCAACTGGCAGGTGTCATCTGACCTTGACCTCATTTTCATGGTTCAGTGGTTATAGTTAAGTTTTTGTGTTTTGGTCTGTTTTTCTTATACTGTATGCAATAGGTGTACTATATTTGGTGTATGGAATGATTGTAAGGTGTACATGTCTAGCTGGCAGGTGTCATCTGACCTTGACCTCATTTTCATGGTTCAGTGGTCAAAGTTAAGTTTTGGAGTTTTGGTCTTTCTTTCTAATACTGCATGCAATAGGTCAGCTATATTTGGTGTATGGAATGATTGTAAGGTGTACATGTCTAGCTGGCAGGCGTCATCTTACCTTGACCTCATTTTCATGGTTCAGTGGTCAAAGTTAAGTTTTTGAGTTTTGGTCTTTTTTTCTAATACTATATGCAATAGTTCAACTATATTTGGTGTATGGAAATATTTTATGATCTATATGTCAGTCACGCAGGTTTTATTTGACCTTGACCTCATTTTCAAGGTTCATTGCTCAGTGTTAAGTTTTTGTGTTTTCGTCTGTTTTTCTTAAACTATAAGCAATAGGTCAACTATATTTGTTGTATGGAAGAATTGTTAGCTGTACATGCCTGCCTAGCATGGTTCATCTGACCTTGACCTCATTTTCATGGTTCATTGGTCAATGTTTAGTTTACTTGGTTAATGTTAAGTTTATGTGACAGTTGTAATAAAGCTTTATATTTAGGACTATCAACATAATATCAATGATTAGTAAAGAAGGCGAGACATTTCAGCGTGTGCACTCTTGTTATATATATTTAGGCTGTAGGTTGATATAATAACATTAAAATTTACAGTACTAAAAATGAAATATATGGGTCAAGTGAAATACCTTTCTAATGAGTCATATTAACAGAGTTGGTGTGTTCGAATAACAAATTTTTACTAAAAGTACTTGACGACAGACTTTTCAAGTGGATCTTAAAAATGCATAACTTCAAAAAATCTTCATCACTACAATGGCTTCCATTTTTAGGATTATAAAAATTAGGTGGCGTAATGGGGAGATAATTTTGACGAAGTAGAATCCTGACTGTATTTAAAGGTACATTAGATACAAGGTTGACAAAAAATTTTGATTTTTATGTTGTTTTTGTTTCAAACTTTGATAAAAGCTGTATTGTGAAATGAAATTTTGCTATGAGCACTAAGTTTTGGTTAAATTTTGTCAAAATAACCCCAAAAACATTGATGATGTATTATTGGCTTAGAAGCACAAAGTGGTAAAGCCATATAGTGTTACCCCATTCTGTCATTCCACATCGAACAGTTATACAGACTTTTTTTCTAAACGCCTTTACATATTGAGTCCACTATGACGAGTTACAGATCTGCTCTGCTGATTTTTGCCGAAATTACAGGCTGTGGACTTTAAAAATTTTCGTGAAAATAACAGTTATACAAACTTTTTTTTCAAAACACCTTCACATATTGAGCTGGTTTTAGTATGTGAGTCTACTATGATGAGTTACAGATCTAGTGTAAGTTTGGCTCCGCTCCGCTGCTTAGTTCTGAAACTATAAGACTTTGAAAATTTCACTAAAATAACAGTTATAAGGCTTTTTTTGAAAGCGGGGCCATTCGTGTTGTTCCAACACATTTAGTTTATTTATCTATCACATGAAATTAAACAGACCTAGGAACATCATCATTATACGAATGCATATGCTTGCCTGTGCATTTACATTTATGTTTACATCAGTTGATATGACCTAAGGAATTCTTCATAGATCATCTCAATGGTTAATGAGATGGCGTCTATTTTAAAATGAACTCAAAATGTACATTAAAAAGGGTCCATGCATTGTAAATTGTTTCTTTAGGCCTTTTTATACGACCGCAATAAATTTTTTGCGTCATATAATGCTATGGTGTCGGCGTCGGCGTCATCCGAAGACACATTTCAAATTAGTCAATATTAAGGTTTGAAGTGTCTAAAATTAAACTTTGTTTGATTTCAACTAAAATTAAATATTGGTGTTTTTTATATGCTGAATCTAACCATGTTGTTAGATTTTGGATATCAGACAATTCTAGGTAAATTAAATGTCCCATTTCAAATTTTTAAGATCTTTGACCACATTTATTTTGTGTCAGAAACCTATATTATGTCAAAAATTTGATCACTATCCAAATTCAGACAGTATCAAGCTTGAATATTGTGTCCAAACTTGCCCCAACTGTTCAGAGTTCGACCTCTGTGGTCGTATCTGGCTGCGCTCAGCGAAGCATTTTATTGTAATTTGGATAGACGTTTCAATATGTTATAAATAAGGTATGAGATTTTGAGTCCAATCGAATTTGACCGCTTATGCCCCTTTAATATTTATATTTCAGATAGAGCTAGAGGAGATAGAGACTCGAAATGAAGAATATCCAATGATTCTTGCTTTCCTGGGTCTGATAAATTCTTTGTCAGATATTCCTGTACCAGCAGGATTAGTAACAGGGCTAAGATCTCCAGGTTTTGATCCTTATCTCAATTTTATAAGAGATGATGTGTTTTTAAAGTTTGATACCAGAGCATACAAAGATCCTGCTGAAAAGGTAAAAAATGTATATCATTTTACTCTCTTGAATGTCTCATCAGTCAACAAATATTTATAGTAATACTATTAAGTATAAGAAAATTGCCGTAGATACAGAACTTCAAATGTATATTTTTTATTACAATTTTTCGCTAACTGACTTTATTTTGAGATTATCTATTCTCACAATGATGCTTGTTACCTGTTGCTTGGTTGCTAGGGATTTTGCAATATTCCTGTGTCAGCAATCCATCATGAGGAGACAGTTGGTCCGGGGCGACAGTTATTGTCCTTTGATTTCATTGTCCACAAATATAGTCCCTAGTATGGATAGTGTATAACTTTTTTCATACACCTTCCAAATTTATTTCTTTATATTTGATGCATAAAATTGATTGATTGATTAGTAATTAATGACACTTTCAGCACTATTGTGCTATTTCGTAGCGGTCAGTTTTTATTGGTGGAGGACGCTTGAGTGCCCAGCAGAAAATCATAGTGAAAAATCAAAATGATAGTGTAGGGATACAGTTGTTCCACTACATAGACCACTGGACCACCGAGGCCCTCTTCATGCATAAAATAGTAAGAAGGGGAGGATACTACATGTAAAAAAGATTTGGGACATGAATTTTACGTAAAATAGTGATTTGGTACAGTTGGAAAAGGTAAAAAATTAGTATTTCTAAAGCTGCTTAGATTTAAAAAAAAATTTGTGTTCGTATATTGCTATCATGTCGTCGTCGTCCAAAGACATTTGGTTTCCGGACAATTTCTTAAGTATAAGTGAATGGATCTCTATGAAGTTTAACCGCAAGGTTCAATAGCACAAAAGGAAGGTTGGGATTGATTTTGGGGGTTATGGTCCCAACTGTTTAGGAATTAGGGGTCAAAAAAGGGCCAGAAAAGGCATTTTTCTAGTTTCGGACAATAACTTGTGTATAAGTGTATGGATCTCTATGAAATTGTACCACAAGGTTCCATACCACAAAGGGAAGGTTGGGATTGACTTTGGGGGTTATGGCCCAAACTGTTCAGGAATTAGGGGGGAAAGGTTTTTCTGGTTAATGGACAATTACTTAAGTAATAGTCTATGGATCTCTATGAATTTGAAACACAATGTTCCATACCACAAAGGGAAGGTTGGGTTTGACTTTGAGGGTTATGGCTTAAACTGTTCAGGAATATGGGGCAAAAAGGGGGGAGGATCAAGGTTTTTCTGGTTTCCGGACAAATAATTTAGTGTTAGTCAATGGATTTCTATAAAATTGTACCACAAGGTTCCTTTCCACACACAGAAGGTTGGGGTCGATTTTGTGGGTTGTGGCTTTAATCGTTAAGAAACTAGATGCCAACTAGGGGCTTAATTCAAAGTCTTGAATTGTTTGAGGTTTTTTCCATTGTATTACTATATTGGATTGGACATTTTTAAATAGGTCTACATTGAGGTCAAAAGGGTCCAAAAGTAGACTTTGTTTGATTTCATCAAAAACTAAATTCTTGTGGTTCTATGATATGCTGAATCTAACTGTGCATTCAGATTTTTAATTTTGGGCCCTGTTTTCAAATTAGTCCATATTAAGGTCCAAAGGGTCCAAAATTAAACTTTGTTTGAATTCATGGTTTTCATGCCCCCGCTGTAGTGGAGGGGGCATTAAGTTTTACTCTTGTCCGTCTGTACATCCCAAAATTGGTTTCTGTTCTATAACTTTAGTTTGTCTCAACCAAATGTTATGAAACTTATACACAATGCTTATTACCACATTACCACAAAACACAGATCAAGTTTGAATATTGGTGGCGTCACTTTTACCGTTCTAGAGTTATGCCCCTTTACAAATGGAAAAGTTTCCGTTCTCTAACTTAAGTTTGCCTCAACTAAATGTTATGAAACTTATAAACAATGCTTATTACCACAAAACTCAGATCAAGTACAAATTTGTGTAGTGTCACTGTTACCGTTCTTGAGTTATGTCCCAAATCTATAATGTGTCAAATATTTAATGACTATCCAAATTCAGAGCTGTATCATGCTTGAATATTGTGTCCATACTTGCCCCAACTGTTCAGAGTTCGACCTCTGCGGTTGTATCCAGCCTCTCCAGGCAGAGCGCATTTTTATTGCAATTAAATCGATTTCATGGATACTGTTAGTAATAGGTCAAATATATTTGGTGTATGGAATTATTGTAAGGGTTGCAAATCTGTCCATTTGATCTTGACCTTATTTGCATGGTTCATTGATGATATTAAGTTTTTGGGATACCTGTACTGCTGTAGTAAAAAGTACATTTTCCTAATACCAGATGTTGACTTGACAATGGTAAAACACAAATCAGGGAGGGATTCGTAAAATTTGTGTACATTTACAAAGAAAGATAAAGTAGCTCTTTCCATGTTATTTCTTCTAGAAAATACTCGAAATGAATGCTAGATGAAGGAATCAATGATAATTTAAGCATTTTTGAAGAATTGGGATGCATAATTAAATCTCACACCTGCGCACACATGTACTAGTTCAAACAACATGTCTGGTGATTTTCGCTTAAAACCTTTATAACTACCTTTTTAAATTTTTCATCAAATCATATTTATATAATCTAAATCTTTTTGACTAAATTAATTAGACGCAAACCGCTGAAATTTAAGAAAATAACTTTAAATAGACCAATCAATGTCTGGTACGAAATAGTTTGCCTGTCGCCTGAACAGGTAAATTTTAGCTGACAGACAACTAATTAACCTTGATTGTAATTAGAGGGTTTGTTTTGATAGTTCTTATTCATTATGTCACTTTAATGACTGGAAATGTGTGGTTGTTTAAGGCAAAAGGTCAAGTCAAAAAGATCGCAGAAACTTAAATTTTTTTTCTGAATATGTTAAAATGGCAACCCCACGTTATATATGTCCATTTTAGGCTCGGCACAACAAGTTAAAAATCTATAATTTTACGGTCAAGTCCAGACAAAACGACTGTTTTGGAAGCCCTGCTTTAAAAGTAAAATTAATCATATGTAATCAGTTAACCAGGCAATACATTTCAGTGGATGAATTTGTTGTTTCAGAATATATATGTAAATGTTTCTATGAGAATAACTATTTCTTGATTCCTGATGTCTAACCAATGTTGCTTCCACGACAATAAAGCAAAACTAATGTACATTAAATGTACTCACACCATCTTTTAAGTAGATTCATAGTTATTGCAGGAATATTGTTTAATTGCAATTGATAAGGTCTGCATATTTGCACAAATTTTGGCAGAAATAATGTTTAGATGCAAATGATAAGGTCTGTATATTTGTACTAGTTTTGGCACAAATATTGTTTAGATGCAATTGATTAGGTCTGCATATTTGAACTAGTATTTGGAGGAATAGTGTTTAGATGCAAATGATTAGGTCTGCATATTTGAACTAATTTTGGCAGGAATATTGGTTACAGGCAAATGGTTAGGTCTGCATATTTGAACTAGTTTTTGGAGGAATAGTGTTTACAGGCAAATAATTAGGTCTGCATATTTGAACTAGTTTTGGCAGGAATATTGTTTAGATGCAATTGATAAGGTCTGCATATTTGAACTAATTTTGGCAGGAATATTGTCTAGATGCAATTGATAAGGTCTGCATATTTGAACTAGTTGTTTCGCCTTGACAGAGTCAACAATGTATTAGTATGTGATTAGGTCTAGTTCATGGTGAACCACTAGTGATAGGTCAATGATATTTGGTATGCAGTTGTATTAGCATTGGCACATCTCATTACAATGGAGATTATTTGGCCCCGCCCCCTCAGTCAAGGTCTATTGACTTTGAAACTTTTCATAGTTTACATGTATTAGTTTGTGATTAGGTCAATTTATGGGGAACCACTAGTGGTAGGTCAATAATATTTGGTATGCAGTTGTATAAGCATTGGCATATCTCATTTCCATGGAGATTATTTGGCTCCACCCCTTAGTCATGGTCTATAGACTTTGAAAATTTTGCTAAGTTAACATGTATTAGTTTGTGATTAGGTCAGTTCAAGGGGAACCATTAGTGGTAGGCCAATGTTAAATGGTGTTCAGTTGTATAAGCATTAGCACATCTCATTTCCATGGAGAATATTTGGCCCCGCCCCCTCAGTCATGGTCTATTTACTTTGAAACTTTTGCTTAGTTTACATGTATTAGTTTGTGATTAGATCAGTTTAAGATGAACTGCTAATGTTAAGTCAATGATATTTGGTATGCAAATTTATTGGCATTTGCAAGTATCATTTCCATGGAGATTATATAGCCCCACCCCTGATCATGGTTCATTGACTTTTAAACTTTTACATAGTTTACAAGTTAATGTTTGTGTTTAGGTTTGTTTAAAGGGAACGAATTATAATAAGTCAATGGTATTTGGTATGCAGTTGTATTAGCATTGGCACATCTCATTCCATGGAGATTGTTTAGCCATGTACCTTCAGTCATGGTTCATCGACTTTGAATATTTGCATAACTTACATGTTAAAGTATTGCTATTTTAATTTCAACATTTGCATTATCAAAATTACAAAAAGGCGAGACATATCTCTGTGATGACATTTTATTTTTGGAGGAATATTGTTTAGATGCAAATGATTAGGTCTGCATATTTGAACTAGTTTTGGCAGGAATATTGTTTAGCTGATAGTATTGTATATTTCTGAAGCTAACTGCCTAGTCAAACATATTCGTTCTTTTCTTTTAAATTTTTCATAGTTTGTCTCTCTTACTGTATGGTTACTAGAAAGTTTTCTATTGTTTATTGTGCATGTTGTGATCATTCTGATATTTTTACAGCTTAGGCATTTGTGTCTCTGAGAAAACATCTCTTATGTGTACTTCTTCACATTTTCTATCTTGGTCTGTGTGTTTGACATATATGCGAGTCAGTTATTTTCACTATTCATGCAATCCCTACCAAGTTATCTAACTAATTTCTCTATGTGCCCTTTGGTTGTCTAGATGTTCATATTGTTTCTGATTATTTTGTCTTTGTAAGGCTAAGTATGACATTATTTGTCAGATATTTTTGCTTGTTATGCATTTGCAGAAGATGTAAGCTTATGCAGTGATTTTGAGATGAAGAACAGCAATAAAAACACTGTTTCTTTGCTTTATATTTTTTCAATAAGTATGTAGAGAATTTTTTGTACATAAAATTGCTCCCAGATAGGTCAGTTGATTATTTGTACAATTGAATGTAATACATGAAAAATGTAGAAATATTCATACAATTTTGTATTTCAGTGGAAAGTTGCTTCAGCTGCCTTGGAAATATTTGTTAAACTGTTGAAATGCCATGAGATAAAGGCTGAAGACTTTACAGATGAAATGGTAGAGTTACAGACTGGAGGGACTGTAGCTGTTAACAAATCTCCTGGTCATACTCTCATTATACACATGCTCAATCATTCAGGACTTTTAAAGAAGGTTAGATACTGTACATCTTTTTAAAGGAGTTCTCCTTTCTAAATGAGTTCATCTGACATTTCCTCATTTTCATGGCTCATTAATCAATGTTACATGTTTTCCAGCAGCTTTCAAAAAAAGGCAGTGTAATTTTTTCAGAGGAAATGACAACACTTTTAGTATATATGAAAATAAGAAGATGTGGTATGATTGCAAATGAGACAACTCTCCACAAGAGATCAAATGACACAGAAATTAACAACTATAGGTCACCATACGGCCTTCAACAATGAGCAAAGCCTACACTGCTATTCAGCTATAAAAGGCCCCGAAATAACTAATGTAAAACAATTCAAACGAGAAAACTAACTGCTTAATTTATGTACAAAATAATGAACAAAAAACAAATATGTTACATAGCAACAAACAACAACCCAACAACCACTGAGTTACAGGCTCCTGGCTTGGGACAGGCACATACAGAATGTGGTGGGGTTAAACTAGTTTGAAGGGGCCAATCCTACCCCTAACCTGGGACAGTGGTGTAACAGTATAACATAGGAACAAACTATAAAAATCAGTTGAAAAAGGCTTAAATCATCAAATGGATACAAATAGAAATACATCTAACAAAAATACAGAGTGGACGTGGACGGGTACTTTTACATCCCAACAACAAAAAGACATTAAGTACAGATCTGAGAGTACTCACAGTTACTGACAGCTAGTTCAAAGCCAATAACAACTAATAAAAAAAATCATGCATCTAAGACTAAAAGACTTAAGACTTTTAGGGCTACCTCAGTATAGAGGACTACACTTTGAGGACAGCCTTAATAGAGATACAAAGGCACTGTTAGGAATAGGAATTTAAACAAAATGTACCATTACTGTTTCATATTTAATATTAAACAAAACCAAAGATATACATATGAGATTATTAAGTTTATTTCTTTATGTAATAAATTGATTATTTCTAGTCTAAGCTCTAAGAAACTTGATATTGTGACTCCCTCATTTGATTTAATAACCTTAGTTAACTTTAATACTGGCTGAACGTATGTGATGATTTGTTTTGTAGATTTTTAATGTAATGACATCAGAATTAAGCTTTAATATGCACCTTTTATTTTATTTGCTTATGATTAAATGCCTTTAAAATGTCCCATTTTATTTTTGCATCAAATTCAAAATGTACAATTAGGGCGTATCATGCACTCTTGGCACAGCTGTTTATTGGAAAAATTTTGTGCAGCCAAGAAAAAACAATATAATTTTAGAGAAGCTTTATAATAGCTATTTACATAATCTCACCAAATGTTAGGGTGTTTCTTAGGTACACACATACTTTTCAATTGAAAATATACTCTGAAAAAGTTGATGAACAAAAAGGAAAGAAAATTTTGTCATGGTTTGTTGCCAGGGTAACTTGTCAAATTGGAAATTTGTTTTAATTTTTTAATCACCTTTTAACCTTAGTATTGTTAGGATAAATTTAAGATCACTTATGGTAACTTCTGAATTTGTACATATATTTGGACCAAATAAGGGCCTTATTGCCCCTACTCCTTGTAAACATTTTAAAATTGAGGAGATACAAAGTTACTGTTGTCAATAATTCCATTCAATTAACAGTATTTATATTTTCAAAAATGTTTAAACATATTTGTAATAGTTTGATTGTGAAATTCAACAAAATATCGTCTGTTAAAATTTTGATTATGTGCAAAGGGAAAATGACTTGAATGGTCTTTCTAAAAGATGATTCACATTAATATGTCGAAATAAGAACATGGTGCCAAAAATTTCTACACACAAAGGGCTTGGCATCATGGAAATTGGGGTAGGCTGCAGTACTTTCTCCCTACTTCCTGTTGGAAACATCACTGTTAAGACTTTAAAGCAATAGGTCAACTATATTTGGTGTTGAAATGATTGTGAAGTGTACATGTTTGTCGGATTGGGTTCAGCAGATCTTGAACTCATTTACATAAATCATTGATAATGTTAAGTTTATGTGATATTTATAGTAAAACCTTTACCTTTAAGACTCAACATGAATTCAATCATAATCAGTATAGCAGGTCAAACATTCTCAAACACATATTTTATACATTGTAAATGCAGAATTCTTGTATTCTCAGCTGTACATACAGTTTCATAAAAACTTCCACTTAAAAGGTTTTTGGATATTCTTATAAAAGGACCTCACAAAATGTATGAGTGTTATAGATATGCATTGTTTTCAATATATAATGATATAAAATGAATCTAATTAGTGATGTCTTACAGTTTTACATGTTATTGTGAGAAAGAAAATGTGAATTTAAATGTTTTGGCATTACATTGTATTAGGGTTTAAAATTAGGACATTACAGAATTTTAGTATTCTCAGCTGTACATGCAGTTTCATAAAAACTTCCACTTAAAAGGTTTTTGGATATTCTATTAAAGGACCTCACAAAATGTTTGAGTGTCATAGATATGTATTGTTTTCAATATATAATGATATAAAATGAATCTAATTAGTAATTTTTGACAGTTTTACATGTTATTGTGAGCAAGAAAATGTGAATAGCATCTGTTAAATGCCTCCAACATTCTTGCTTTAGAAAGATGACTCGAGATGCATTTACTTGAGGGTAAAACTTACCACACCATTCATTCATATACACCTGTATTAATTGAAATTCTGTTATGCATTCTGTAAATTTATATATTTGATTATCAGGGACCTGTTGACTTTATTGCTGGTGCCTATCCTAATCGCTCTTTCTGTCCATCTGCTAAGAAGGGTCCTTTTCCTTTTTTGTGAAATTTGGACAACAATTGTGGTAAAAACTTATTTTTTGTTAAAAAATCACAAATTTTGAGAAACATCTTTTGGTGCTACAATTTAAAAAAAAATTGGCATGTAAGTTATGATAAGCTATTCAAAACTGATTCCCAATGACAAAATTTATTTTTGTGATAATTTGGGTTTTAACGTAAATATCTTTTTGTGCTAGGATTTCTGAATGAAAATTGATATGTTGATATAATGAGCTATTCCAAATTTAATCCAGATGTCAAAAACCTTATTTACTAAACCTGAAGGGTTGACTTTATATAAATAACACATAGCTGAGAGGGTGATAGAGCAGATTGTTACCCCGAGAAAACATTGTCAACTGAGGCGAAGCCAAGGTTGACAATGTCTTTTTGAGGGGTAACAATATGCTCTTTCACCTCTCAGATATGTGTTATTTAATTTATTATACTGAATGTCTGTTATTACTGTCTAATAGATTTCAAATTCAAAATAATAAATTATGTCGTCTTGTACATAACAATCTTCCTTATTTATTAAAGCGCACACTTGAGCAAGCGTCTCAATGAAGGGTAATAGAGTATTTGCCATGGGATAGAGTAAATTGTCTCCCTCGTATTAACCAATCAATATCTGGCATTTTGACATGAAGTATAATAAATAAAAATATGATCTCTTGAACTTCTCTAATTGGACAGTAAAAAATATATTGAAATCTTATTGGTTGATTTTAAAGAGGTTTTAATTGTATTAAAGGGAGATTTGATCTGCCTTGGAAAAGGAGAGTTTGTTAGTTTGGGGCAGAAATTTAGCAACTGACAACCTATAAGTTAATGTAAGGGCTCTTGAATATGCAGAGAGCATTGCATGCTCCTACATTAAGCTGTTGATTTAACGTCCCCATCAAACAGGAAAATACAGCAAATTGAAGTGGTTCAGTTAAATAATTCAGTTAACGATGCCAGAAGTTTAATATTGATATCTATTTTACATTTACAGGTTCTACGAATTCTTGATGATGTTGCAAAAGTGTTGGAGACCTATTCAAATGCTCCAGGTATGATTTAGACTCCAGATGATAACCACATAGGGACTATTCTAGAAAATAGTGTATAAAGGGGGTTAGAAGATCACTTTTTAGACAAAAAATGTAAAAGAAACAAGACTTAACTTAAACAAATTGTCTAAAACTTTACTTTACCTGTACAGGTTTAATTTAACATTTAGATACGTCTTGGGTTAAAGTTTAAACATTAATAAACTTTTGAAACCTTAATGGAATTTCAGTAAATTTTTACAGAAGCTTCTTCTAGATCAAGAGATACCATCTAGATTATAAAAACTATATGGAAAGACAAGACAGAAATTGTAAACAAGTAAAAATGATCAGCAATACAAGATCTTCAATTAAGTCAAATGGCTTAATTTGTCAACTTTTTAGTAGAGTTATTTCTGGTATATGACAATGTTTCTCTTATTATTTGCATTTATATCCCAAAAATCTGAAACAAATGAACCAATTTAAACCAAACTTGACATAAATGGTCCTTGTAGTGTCTAGATTTGAGTTTATGAATTGAATACTTGTACATGGGATTGCAGAGTGTCCATTGTTAGCAATGATAAAAATCCTGGTGAGCGATAATGGCTCAGAAACTCAGCGAATTAAAAGCTTTACATGTTGATAATAGAGCTGAATATTGTTGACCTCTGTCTTGGTTTTGTTTGTATGGTTGCTTTCTCATTGACACACAACCCACATCTTCTTTAATGAAATAACTTTATTGTGTGTTTATCATATGTTGTAATCCATATTCAGTTTAAAATGAACTTTCAACTACATTTCAGGAAAGAAGTACATGGAAAGAGCTTCACTTTGTTGCCTACAATTGGTTGAATTCACCCTAGATAAAGCGGAGGAGTTTTTTGATGCTTGTAGAGAAATGGGAGTTTCCATAATGGTTTCTCAAATGGACAGGCTTTTAAGAGGGATAAACCCACGTACAGGAAAGTCTGACCATCTAATTAATGTGGCAAAGTAAGTCTTTCATTAAGATTGTTTCTGATTCTATGGTCATATAGGAAAATATAGTAGAACAATTTTAGATAACATTGATTTATTCATTGATTTTATTTTCCTAGAAGTAAAGGGAAAATTATGTGTAATAAGTTTTAGAGGGGCATAAGATCAGCAATTCCTAATCTGACATGTCTGATTAAAATTGTCAAGTTTGGGGAAAAAAAGTCTTTTGTCTCATAATTTTGTTTTACTACTGAAATTTTACCACTTTGTACCAAATACATAGTTATGTCTGAAAATATACTGATTTTATTAGCTCACCTGGCCCAAAGGGCCAAGTGAGCTTTTCTCATCACTTGGCGTCCGTCGTCCGTCGTCGTCGTTAGCTTTTTACAAAAATCTTCTCCTCTGAAACCACTGGGCCAAATTTAACCAAACTTGTCCACAATAATCATTAGGGTATCTAGTTTAAAAAATGTGTCCGATGACCCCGCCAACCAACCAAGATGGCCACCATGGCTAAAAATAGAACATAGGGGGTAAAATGTAGATTTTGGCTTATATCTCTGAAACCATAGCATTTAGAGTAAATCTGACATAGGGTAAAACTGATTATCAGGTCAAGATCTATCTGCCTTCGGAATTTTCAGACAAATCTGGCAACCTGTTGTTGGGTTGCTGCCCCTGAATTGGTAATTTTAAGGAAATTTTGCAGTTTTTGGTTATTATCTTGAATATTGTTATAGATAGAGATAAACTGTAAACAGCAATAATGTTCAGCAAAGTAAGATCTACAAATAAGTTGTCATGACCAAAATTGTCAGTCGACCCCTTTAGGAGTTATTGCCCTTAATAGTCAATTTTAACAATTTTTTGTAAATTTTTGTAATCTTTTACAAAAATCTTCTTCTCTGAAACTACTGAGACAAATTTAACCATACTTGGCCATAATCATTATTAGGGTATCTAGTTTCAAAAATTTGTCCGATGACCCCACCTTCCCACCATCATAGCCGACTTGGTTAAAAATAGAACATAGGGGTAAAATGCAGTTTTTGGTTTATATCTCTGAAACTAAAGCATTTAGAGCAAATCTGACAGGTGGCAAAAATGTTCATCAGATTTAGATTTATCTGCCCTGAAATTTTCAGAAGAATTCGACAACCCGTTGTTGGGTTGCTGCCCCTGAGCCTCTAGTTATTATTAGCTTTGTTAAGCTATGTATTTGACCAAACAAAAATCAGATTTATAGTCATTTAAAAAACACCTGTATTACTCAAATTGCATTTCTATGTTGCCATTTAAACAGGTATATAGCCTGGAAAATAGATATTTATTGGCACTCATACTACATCTTTTTATATCTATTTAACCTTGAGAATTGAAAGGTCAGTTTATTCCATTAATACAATAGGAGTTGATTAAAATTGGTTTTATGCCATTTACCTTGTCCAAAATATAAGACAGCATTGTAATTCCATGTCCAAATTGGCTGAATAAAAGTGCGGCAGCAGTTCATTTGCGCCAATTTTTATATTTGAGACGTATCATTTGCGCCAAATATTATTTTTCAAAGGTGTCAATTGCGCCAATATATTGAACTCTTTTGCACTAATTTACCTGTACACATAATTATCATACATAATAATCATAAAAAAATAAATAAAATGAAAGGTGAGTATACAATGACAAAAGTATAAGATCATATGTTCAGAGTTACGATGTTAAAATTTGAGGAGGATCACATGGAGAGAAATGATTTGAAATGTATCAGAGAAAGAAGGAAACTATCAAGCTTCATCAATATGTCAATAAGAGAGGGTCTGGATGGGGGGTTCTTACAGCTGTTATCATAATGCTAGCAAGTTAAAGATTTGGTTGGCTTGCTTGCTTTGTTTGTATTAATTTTTGCTCAAGAATTGTAATTAAGACTGACATCTGAAAACAATATATAATGGCAGAGTTAAACTTGTATACTTTATACTTAAATTTGATTGGACACTATCAAATATAATCAAATTTACCTATATACAGGTTTAACTCCGCCTACTTATATTGTTTGCAGATGTCAATCTTAATTACAATGCTTGAGCAAACATTAATACAAACAAAGCAAGCAAGGCAAGCAAGCCAACCAAACTCTTACTCTGCATTGCATTAGGAAATTGACTGTAATTTCTGTATTCTTTAAAATAAAAGGGCATTTTTCTTTATCTTTAGAAGTAATGCTTATTCTTTAAAATGCTCATTAAAACTGATTTTACTATTAAATTTTTCTGTAATTATATGATTTCTTTATTCTGTACATCCTTCATTTCTGTAATCATTATTATATTACCGAATTCATTTATTTTCCACACTTATTCTTTATATTTTTGTGCCCCATTATTCTCTATTCTTTATTTTTTTGCTCAATTTTCTTTATTCATTTTTTTCTGGCCATTATTCTCTATTCTGTAAACCCCATCCAGACCCTAATATGAGTTTCAGGAAATTTGTTGGAATTATTACAATTCAAGTTGAAGACTAAAGTTTGTTTTAGTAAAATGATATTGAAAGTAGAATTATGATTCTTGGTGTAAAGTTAACTTAAAATGTCTGCTTGGATGCAGAAGATGTATTTGCAGATGGAACATTCAAGTATTGTCCGAAGTGCCACTACCTATATTAAATATAATATGGAGGAGGGAAGTCTTTTTTTTCTTAATTGGCGCTTGATTGATTAAAATATGAAATAACAATTTTGATGAAGTTGTTATGCAAATTAAATTTTACCCTTGTATGTCCGTACATCACAAAATTGGTTTCCGTTCTCTAACTTTAATATTGCTGAATTTTTCATTTCCATTCTCCAACTTTAGTTTGCCTCAACCAAATGTTATGAAACTTGTCCGCAATGTTTATTACCACAAAACACAGATCAAGTTTGAATTTTGGTGGCGTCACTTTTACCGTTCTAAAGTTATGCCCCTTTACAAATGAAAAAATTGCTGCTTTTTTGTTTCCGTTCTCTAACTTGAGTTTGCCTCAACCAAATGTTATGAAACTTATCCACAATGTTTATCACCACAAAACACAAATCAAGTTTGAATTTTGGTGGTGTCACTTTCCCCATTTATTTCAATAAATTTTTTACAGTGTAGTGTACTTCTTTTGGGTCGAATAAATTATATCAAAACTATAGAAAATGTCTCTTATACTCAAATATGATGGATTCATACATACTAATTTTTTTATCTTTTTCAGCTGGACCTTACTTTACCTTAAAATTCATGGCCTGAATTTTTTACTGTGTAGTTTTATCCCCCAACTTGCTATTTTATCCATAAAACATGCAAAACAAAATTTGGAAGGTGTTCGAAAATTTTGCAAGTAATCACTATTCACACTAAGGATAAATTTATATATTTGTAGAAAACTACAATCAAAAGGCAGTAATTGTGTCATCAGGCCAAATATGATTTGAAATTATTCAAACTTATCTTCCAATGTTTCCACCAGTGATTTCTTTGATTGGATACAGACAATGATACTTTGACCAGGAACTTTGCTTTCTAAACTTGAACTCTTCATAGAATATTATAAATGCCATTTACTTTCCAGATACATAACATTTAACCAAGTTATGCCTTATCATGCTATGTCAGCTATGAAGATTTTATTCAGTGTGAGCAGAGCTGCTGGCATACAAGCTGATCTCGTCAATCTATACACTGCTGATGAGGTATTTTATTGTTCGTATATTATTCATAAGATGATGGAAGACATCATTTGTTTTGGTATGGTGATGTACTATGACGATTTGATGCAATCCATTGAAACCTAATTTTTTTTCTCTACTTGTCAGACTTTAATTAATTGATATAAACCTTTATCATATAATAATTGTAACTGTATCATTAATTATTTTGACGTAGAACAAAAGATTGATGAACTAATTCCTAAACTTGTTATCTTTATCAATCTGTCTAAATCATACTCAAATAATATAAGAACAAACATGTTTAGTGCAGCTTTGTGATATGAAAAGGAGGTACTAAATCATAGCAAGTCATCATTTTAGGTTATTAATTTTGCATTTTTCAAAAATGTTAGAATGTTATTAGACCCATTAGCAGTAATCATCTTACCTTAACTTCCTTAAGTTTCTCAATAGGATATTTTAAGGATGACTCATCACTTTTTGTCCCCTACCAAAGTGGAGCTGAGGATATGCAATTCTAATATCTCATTGTGCATCCATGCATAAATATGTTATTACTCAGCTTTTGTATTAAAGAATGATTTGTACCATTAAAGTAATTTTTAAAATCGGGGCAGTGCTGTATGTTTGAAGATACATTTAAATTTTATTATACCCACTATTCACACTAAGGATATCTGACCTTGACTCATCCTTATCAACAGTTTTGGCTACATATTTCCCAGCATCAATTTGATGTATGTTCCTGATTTTTTTTTTAATGTTGAGTCGTACCTTGAAAGTCATCTATTTGACCATACTTTAAATTTTATCATCCTTAACAGTGAGGATTTTGTCATCAGTGTCTAATAACAAGTGGGGGTAACTTTTTTGTTGTAAAGGTAACAGATACGTAATGGGCAATCTCACAGAATTTTATGGAATTTGCATGCAACAAGACCATCAAGAACTGCACAAGAACATAAACAAAATTCTATATGTTACATTTATACTTTCTGAGATGTGGCAAATCAAATATCTGGATAGTTAGATACACGGATACACTGGAACAGTTTTTACAGCAAAAATAAATACAGTGGCCCCTTATAAATACAGTGGCCCCTTATAAATACAGTGGCCCCTTATAATTTTACATGTAAAGGAAAAACATATGACAAGTTAAGATGGATTATTTATAAGAATAATTTTGTAAACATCTGGTAGTTATGTATCAAATTACAGACCTAACTTGCATTTTAGGAGAAGCTTTTTAAACATAAGAAATCTCAATTCAATTACATATTTGGTAGAATATTAATTCTGGAAGCAAATGTACGACATGGCAGAAATTTTCAGTAACCTCAATGCAGATTAACAACAATGACATGAGACATATGGTGCATCATCAAAAACATATTTTCTCAATTCCCGTCCGTAAGCTTTCAATTGATATATACATTTTGTATCATATGATATTTATAGGTAAATCTGGGAAAATCCCTGTATATCCTTGTCCCTTCTTCATTGTTAGATTCTTGTAGTTCATGTAATTGCAGTTTGTTATTATTACAGAAAACTAAAAGTGAATTATTGCATGGATTTGTTGAATGTTTAGAAGTTGATGACCCAGAAATATCACAAGACAACATGATCATTCTGAATGAAGAAAAAGGTTAGTTTTGTGATTGTGTTCATTTGTATTCATAATATTTGTTTTTTTAACAGAGTTTAACTCAGCTTAAAATATGAGCTGTGTCGGATAGAAATCAACCTTATGCAAATATCATTACATCTGGCGGGTTTAAAAAAATATCTATGCCAAGTCTGTAACTATTTGAAAATTTAGTTGATATAAGAACCATACAAAACAGACCAAAATTCATCCCTTATTTTGTATTTGAATGTTCCAAAATCAATCGAAGTCTCATAAAATTTACATGTATACATGCACTTGCATTAAGTCGATTTCTATCCGACGCAGCTCATATGATGAATGCCAAACAGACATCAATATTTTTGTTTAGGGACAAATTCTTTTGAGTTACAAACTTTGCCTTATAATGTCCCATTAGGTGAGAAAGACCTTTATTGATTTTTGGGTCAATAGTCTAAAGTTAAAGGTGACAGCTATTGTTGGACTGAAATTTGTGTAAAATTTTGTTTTCTAGATATCATATATCTTCTGGAAATATAAAGCTTTATACAAAAGGTTTACGCCGTCGCCACCCGGTTGTAATCCCTATGTCTCACATTTTGAGACTTTGGTCGCAGGCCTAGGAAAACAAAAACTATCTTAAGCTTCCTGTGTACTATGATTTCACAATTTAGTGTCAATAAACTTTTCCCTTTTACTCCGACAGTTTGGTCATTGAATAACAATGCTGTGTCCTATGTTTTGGACAAGGTATATGGCATGAAGCAAATTGTATGAATGGGATAAACTGACCGTCCAATTCTTATCTTGACTAAATATCAATTTTCTAGGCTAATATACCAATTTAAATGCAAATAGCCATAAACAGGAAGGACTATACAGTCACTGCAACACACATATAAAACACTTACACCAATATGTAATTAAATGTAATTAGATATCTTGCTTTGTCATGTTTCCCTTTAATAGAAGGTAAGATTGTTGAAATATTCCTCCCTAAATTATTGAAATCTATAATTTTTCTTTAACCATAATATCTTGTTGTAAATTAGATACACCGATTGTGACAACCCTCATGGTTGTATCAAATACTAAAATTTAAGTGATATATGTACAAATGACCAACAAGGATACCTTTGATTTTTGTCGAGCCTGCGAAATAAGTTTTTGCAAAAGCGAGACATAGTGATCCTAGATTCCATCGTCGGCAGCGTCAACATTTAGGTTCAGTCTGTGGTTAAAGTTTTTTAAGACATCAATAACTTTGTCAAACCTACATGGAATTTTATGAAATTTGGACAGAAGCTTGTTTATTACCAAAATACGGTATCCAGAGCAAAATTTTAAAAATATTTATTTTCATTTTCCGTATTTTACTGATAATTAGACTTAGTTTTTTTTACACTTAACATTCAGATTCAGTCTGAGGTTAAAGTTTTTCAGTCATCAATAACTTTGTCAAATCTACATGGAATTTTATGAAATTTAGACAGAAGCTTGTTTATGACCAAAATACAGTATCCAGAGCAAAATTTTAAAAATATTTATTTTCATTTTCCGTATTTTACTGAAAATTGGACTTAGTTTTTTACACTTAAAATTCAGACTATGTAAAAAACTTAAAATTCAGATTCAGTCTGAGGTTAAAGTTTTTCAGTCATCAACAACTTTGTCAAACCTTTATGGAATTATATGAAATTTGGACAGAAGCTTGTTTATGACAAAAATACTGTATCCAGAGCAAAATTTTCATTTTTCTGTATATTACTGATAAATGGACTTAGTTTGTTTTACAATTAACAAGTAGATACAGTCTGGGGTTAAAGCTTGTTACACATCAAATACTTTGTCAAGCCTTCATAGAATTTTATGAAACGTTTTTATGATTAAGAGATAATGTCTGAAGCAAACTTTTGAAAATATATTTTCATTTTCAGTATTTTTCTGATAGATGGACAGTCTGGGATTAAATTTTTTTGACCTCATTTTAATGGTTTATTGGTCAATGTTAAGTGTTTGTGTTTTGGTCTTTTTTAGCTCACCTGACCTGAAAGGTCAAGTGAGCTTTTCTCATCACTTTGCGTCCGTCGTCCGTAAACTTTTACAAAAATCTTCTCCTCTGAAACTACTGGGCCAAATTTGACCAAACTTGTCCACAATCATCATTGGGGTATCTAGTTTAAAAAATGTGTCCGATGACCCCGCCAACCAACCAAGATGGCCGCCATGGCTAAAAATAGAACATAGGGGTAAAATGTAGATTTTGGCTTATATCTCTGAAACCAAAGCATTTAGAGCAAATCTTACATGGGGTAAAATTGTTTATCAGGTCAAGATCTATCTGCCCTGAAATTTTCAGATGAATCGGACAACCTGTTGTTGGGTTGCTGCCCCTGAATTGGTAATTTTAAGGAAATTTTGCCGTTTTTGGTTATTATCTTGAATATTATTATAGATAGAGATAAACTGTAAGCAGCAATAATGTTCAGCAAAGTAAGATCTACAAATAAGTCAACTTGACCAAAATGGTCAGTTGACCCCTTAAGGAGTTATTGCCCTTTATAGTCAATTTTTAACCATTTTTCGTAAATTTTTGTAATCTTTTACAAAAATCTTCTCCTCTGAAACTACTAAGACAAATTTAACCAAAATTGTCCACAATCATCATTAGGGTATCTAGTTTAAAAAATGTGTCCGATGACCCTGCCCGCAAACCAAGATGGCCGACATGGCAAAAAAATAATACATAGGGTAAAATGCAGTTTTTGGCTCATATCTCTGAAACCAAAGCATTTAGAGCAAATCTGATGGTATTAAATTGTTCATTAGGTCAAGATCTATCTGCCCTGAAAATTTCAGACCAATCAGGCAACATGTTGTTGGGTTGCTGCCCCTGAATTGGTAATTTTAAGAAAATTTTGCAGCTTTTGGTTATTATCTTGAATATTATAATAGATATAGATAAACTGTAAACAGCAATAATGTACAGCAAAGTTAGATCTACAAATAAGTCAACATGACCAAAATTGTCAATTGACCCCTTAAGGAGTTATTGCCCTTTATAGTCAATTTTTTACAATTTTCATAAATTTTGTTATTTTTTGTAAATTTTTACAAAATATTTTCCACTGTAACTACTGGGCCAAGTTCATTATAGATAGAGATAATAGTAAGGAGCAAGAATGTTCAGTAAAGTAAGATCTACAAACACATCACCATCACCAAAACACAATTTTGTCATGAATCCATCTGTGTCCATTGTTTAATATGCACATAGACCAAGGTGAGCGACACAGGCTCTTTAGAGCCTCTAGTTTCACTTACCAAAGCAATATGTCAACTATAATTGGTGTATGGAATGGTTGTAAGGTGTACATGTCTGTTTAGCCAGTATCATCAGACCTTGACCTCATTTTCATGGTTCATTGGTCAATGTTAAGTTTTTGTGCTTTGGACTGGTTTTCAATAACCATAAGCAATGGGTCAACTATATTTGGTGTATGGAATAATTGTAAGGTGTACATGTCTGTGTGGCAGTTTTATCTGACCTTGAAGTCATTGTCATGGATCTTTAAAAATGTTAAGTTTATGTGATACTTGTAGTAAAACCTTTATCTCAGACTTTCAACATAAAATCAATGGTCAGTAAAACAGGCGAGACATTTCAGCATGTGCACTCTTGTTGTTCTAGATCTGTGTATCAAACGACAGGAAACCATCATATTTTTATTTATATTACATGTCATTTGAATGTAAAAGTGTTTTAATATGATTGATAATAGCTTCAGTGGATTAATTTGAAATGTGAAGAACTCCTGAAAATTCTAACAAGATTTGACTATCAAACAGTCGAAAAAGCAGACGATTCTCTTAATTAACAGATTTTACATATGAAAGCAAATTATTCTACATAAATGTGAAAAGGGAACATTATTACTTTGCTTTAATCATTTTTGAAAGACAATCTGGTACGTGTTTAAATATTTCTATGAAAACCTCATATTTCACCATGGGTGTGACAGAGGGTTACTTTGTTATCATTGTTTTCTGTATATCATTAATATTGCATTCACAAAGGTTATTGAAATAAAAGTTCAAAATTACTTCACATTTTTTTATTTAGATACTAATCTTAAAAGTAAATCTGCAAGCATGCATATTATCCAGGAAATAAAGCACATGATTAGCTAGTAAATAATTCTTTTTTATTATGTAATTGATTGAAAGTTTTAATTTTCAAATCAGAATTGTTCATAGATTTACCATATAAATGCATTGATTCAATTTATTGTATGAGGTTGCTTAAATTTGCTTAAATTTGCTGAATTTATATACCTTTTTAATGAGGAACAATGAATGGCCGTTGGTTTTCTCAATTGTATTGTTTCATATTTTTCAATTCATGGCCTTTTATAGCCAACTAATATACAATATGGGGTTTTCTCATTGTTGAAGGCCGTACGGTTGCCTATAATTGCTTACATCCACTTTTTTGAACTTTGATGGATAGTTGTCTTATTGGCTATCATACCACATCTCTGGTGGATAGTTGTCTCATTGGCTATCATACCACATCTCCTTATTTTTGTATCAGAATAGTTTTCCTCATTGAGTTTCTAATAAAAAAAAAAAAAATCTAAGATAGTCACGACAGTGCTATATATTTACTTGTTAGTTTCTGACAAGTAGAAAAAATATAATTGTGTAACTATAAATGACAATTTAAGACATAAACTGAAACAAATGTTACTGTAATGGTATTCTCAGGTATGATTTGAACAATATAAAAAAGAATTAAATAAATAGAATACATATGGCCCTTTATATAAAATAATTATTGTAAAACACAGACATTATAGCACTGCGAGGAAATGAGCACTTCTCTCTATCAGTTTCAAAAAGAGAAGCCACTTCTCTCTATGGTTCTGAAGTAGTGTGAGCCCTGGCCTTTTCTGAAAAGTTATTAAATATTGAACTTGAGACTTGAACTTGATCAGTTCATTCTCCTGTCAGTGGTGAACACTGGTAAGAAGTCATTAGCTAATATTCCCAGGGGCATAATTATACATTACCAAGTGACAGTTTTAATACTGGTACCAAAAAAAGAATTGCTAACAGAAATAAGTGCATAATGGTGTTTAAAAAACCTGATCTCTATGATCTTACCAAAATTATTTCTGTTAATTTTTTTCTTCTATGGCCTAAATGCAAAAAATCATTTCAGTCATTGGCCTTTCAGATTAGGACTTGTCTGACAAAAATTACTGTTTCACGACCCTTGGCAAGGCTTCATCAATCACTGTCTATTGACTTTGAAACATTTGCATAGTTAACAGGCTAAAGTTTGTGATTAAGGGAGCCACTTATAATAAGTCTATTATATCTGGTATGTAGTTGTATTAGCATTGAGGAAGAGATTATTCTGCCCTGCACCTTCAGTCATGGTGTGACTTTGAATGTTTTGCATATTTTACATGTTAAAGTATTCCAATTTTAATTTCAAAATTTGTCTTTAACTATCAAAATTACATATATATGTGAAATACATATCTCTGTTTCAACAGTTTATCTTATTAATTGACTAATTTTAAAATCCCCATCTTTGACCTAGACTTGAAAGGGCAGTGACTAAAACCTAAATGTCGGTAAAAATTCCAGGTGGGTTAATTACATTCAATGCACCCTACAGAAATCAAATTTGACTGGCTAACATATTTAGTCACTGAGAGTCATGTTTTTATGCCCCTGCTGTAGGCAACAGAGGCAATAAGTGTTACCCTTGACCTTCCTTCTGCCAGGTTTCATTTTCAACAAGTTTTCTTCATTCAAATTTTATAAAACTAGTACACAATACTAAAAACCACAATATGCAAACAGAGTTTGAACTTGGGCAGTATGTCACTTAACATTACAGAGTTATGCCCCTTTATAACTTGGAAAATTGCAAACGTTTTCGTTTCCACACTCTTACTTAAGTTTTCCTCATCCAAATTTTTTGAAACTCATTCACAATGCTAAGAACCAAAACTTGCAGACAGAGTATGAATTTGGGCAGTGCGTTGTTTTCCGTTCACAAGTTATGCCCCTTTATAACTTGGAAAATTGCTAATTTTTTCTTTTCCCCACTCTTACTTGAATTTTCATGATCCAAATTTTATGAAACTCATACACAATGCTAAGGACCAAAAGTCATAGACGAAGTTCAAATTTGGGAAGTGTCTCACTTACTGTTCTAGAGTTGTGCCCCTTTAAAACTTGGGAAGTTGCAAATTTATCCGTTTCCACACTCTTAATTAAGTTTGTCTCATCCAACTTTTATGAAACTCATTCACAATGCTAAGAACCACAACACGCAGACAGAGTTCTAATTTGGGCAGTGAGTCATTTACCATTCTTGAAACATTGCAAAGCTTGAGCCGGGTCATTCATGTCCTCAGACACATTCTTTATACACAATGCTTATTACCACAAAACACAGATCAAGTTTGAATTTTGGTGGCGTCACTTTTACTGTTCTAGAGTTATGCCCCTTTACAAATGGAAAATTGCTGAATTTATCGTTTCTGTTCTCTAACTTTAGTTTGCCTCAACCAAATGTTATGAAACTTATACACAATGCTTATTACCACAAAACACAGATCAAGTTTGAATTTTGGTGGCGTCACTTTTACTGTTCTAGAGTTATGCCCCTTTACAAATGGAAAAATTGCTGAATTTTTCGTTTCCATTCTCTAACTTAAGTTTGCCTCAACCAAATGTTATGAAACTTATACACAATGCTTATTACCCCAAAACACAGATCAAGTTTGAATTTTGGTGGCGTCACTATAACCATTTTAGAGTTATGCCCCTTTAGAAATGGAAAAATTGCAAAATTTTAATTTTCTTCTAAATATCAAATAATTTTATTAAAATTGGAGTTATCTTCCTTTTTCCATTATTATAGTTGAATCAACTACAATCAATGCTTTATACAATGCAATGTTTAATTTTGACTTCCACTGATAAAACACAGATCAAGTTGAATTTGGGTAGTGTCACATTAATCATTATTGAGGTATGCCCCTTTATAAATCGAAAGATTGGAAAATTTTTAGTTTCCATTCTGTATTTTCAGTTTGCGCAAACCAAACATTATGAAACCTATACACAATATTCATTACCACAAAACTAAGATCAAGTACAATTTTTTTGTTTCCGTTTTCTAACTTTAGTTTGCCTCAACCAAATGTTATGAAACTTATACACAATGCTTATTACTACATAATACAGATTAAGTACGAAATTTGATGGCAACAGTTTTACTATTCTTGAGTTATGTCCCTTTGTAAACATAAAAATTGCTGAGTTTTATGTTCCGTTCTCTAACTTTAGTTTGTCTCAACCAAATGGTTATAAAACTTATACACAACCGTTCTAGAGTTATGCATGTTTACAAATGGAAAAATTGCTGAATTTTTAGTTTCTGTTCTCTACTTTAGTTAGCCTCAACCAAATGTTATGAGACTTACACACAATGCTTATTACCACAAAACTCAGATCAAGTTCAAATTTGGGTAGCGTCACTTTTACCGTTCTTCAGTTATGTCCCTTTATAACTATATGATATGCAAGCGGGGGCATCATCTGTGTCCACATGTGGACACTATCCACATTTATTTTTTACATTATACACTTACCAAATTGATGTGCAAACACTTCATATATGCATTTCTGAATCAAATGGAAAAAAACATCAATGAAAGGACACTTTTAATCAAGAACATTGCATTTATTGAAATATATATTCATATGTAATAGAAAACAATTTGAACCACAACTTTTGAAGGTGGAAGTATTTTTTCCCCATAGCAAAATTTTTTATAAAGATGTCATTTTCTCTAACAGGTGTTAACAAATTTAAAGCACCCTTAGAGCTGATAAAAGTTATGACCTTTAACTTATCCAATCATCTACTGAGATCATCAGCAACCACACATTGATTAAATTTTTGAACAATGGGTTCAGAAAGGGTTAAATTGCCAAAAAAATAGAGAAAGCTAGTAACAACAAATATAAACTATGATACAATTGATGTTACAGGTTATACAGATCCTTAAAACCTATTGGCAATTTGGATAAGCCTTGAACATGTTGAATTTATGTTTTTAGTTTGTTTTGATAAATCTCTTGCAAGCTTCCATTTATATTGAAAATAAGATTTGTGTTGTTTCCATTTTAGATGAAGAGGTATCATTATCAGGTGTCAGAAATTGTACAAGACAGTATTTACTTCACACAATAATTTACTCACTAGAACAACCTGCACCAAATCTTGCACACTACCTGCTTGGATTTGAACTTTCCAAATCTGTCAACAAAACTAATTTACAAGACCCTGGTAAGTATAAAAAAAAACTTGCTTATATCTTTTTGCAGTTTTTTTGCTTTGTTACATTAAATGTTGTCAATGTGCTATAATAATTTCTGACAACCTTCACCATTATTTTTAAGAAAGATAAGGGAATATTCCTTGCAAAATGCACAAATATCAATATAGATCTCCAGAAAACTCCAGATTATCTCTTTAATTTAGTTTTTGTAGGTTAAGTTTTAATATTCTGATCCTGTGAAGAGTGAGAAGATACAATTGATAACTGACAATGCCATGGCAAAATATAAGTCCACAATACAATACATTAAAGACTTAAGACTGAGTGACACAAAACCTAACAAAAACTAGGTGCACCTTTAGCATGAGACTCTTTATGGTCATGTTATTACAGGGGACCTCAACATTGTTCAAAACTCAGAGGTTATAAACTTTCTGAAAAAAGGACAAGTATAGCCCTCCATCAAAAATAAATTGGAAAGTGTCACACTGTTTCATTGGGTCATGAAATATGCTCTTTCATTCTTTGGAAGAAAAAATCCAGGTGAGCCTCTTGTATTGGTTTATAATGACACTTGTATAAATTGAAGATAATTAGAGAAAGGGAATCCTATCCTAAAAAAAAAAGTCAAAGGTCATAGTCACAGCTGCTAAAAATACACTGAAATTAAAGAAAAAACAATTTCAATTTGTTGTTTCTAGGTAATATTTCTGAGGTACACTTGGATGATTTCATAAATCTAATAAAAGTGGTTGAAAGTAGAAAAAGGTAGGCAGCCTGTAGATTTTAGGTCAGTCGGTCAAAAGTTAAGGTCATAGTGACTAAGAAAAGCTGTACATAGTATGCTATTCTTAAAAAAATATGTTTCTTGATGAAATCTCTTGAATTTGTTTTTTAATTTGTCTAAAACCTTGGCTAAATTTGCTTTTAAAGGCTTATGAAACTTCAAAATTAAAAAAAAATGTTGAATATGTTTTATATACTTGAATGGCTAAGTTTTACTATAAGACAAGTGTACCTGAACTTTCTTGTAAAGAAGGTCCTTTATATTATCAAAATCTTCATAAATGTACTGTTATTGAATTATTGTCTTCTTGTACTTTATTTCACCAATATTTTACTGTATGCATTGACCTTAACAACAAGACCTCGGTAGAACTTCGTCCACCGCACAGCACAAGTGCAAATGGAAAACCATGATAAAATAATGTAAACAAAGGTACACTGGAAGGGAAATAGTAATAACTGATTCTTAAAGAACTAATTAAATACAACAAATCATTAAACATCTTTTTAGGAAAAATTTAATTAACAAATGGAAATGCATGGAAAATGAAAAAAAAAATGATCTTGGCTCTGTCAATTCACTTGTTTTTCATTTTCTCTGCGGATTCCTTTTTGATGTGTTAATGGAGAAAGTATTGGTAACAATTTTGGTTTCAAGACACCTGATGTTTTATACTTCCTGGAGTATACAGTCTTGTATTGTAACACATTTATACAGGTAAAAATTATCAATAATAGTACATTGAAATAAGAAGATGTGGTATGAGTGCCAATGAGACAACTCTCCATCCAAGTCACAATGTGTAAAAAGTAAACAATTATAGGTCAAAGTACGGCCTTCAACACACAGCCTTGGCTCACACTGAACAGCAAGCTATAAAGAGCCCCAAAATGACTAGTGTAAAACATGTTTTATTTGTCCCTCCCAGCATACTAGTATTTTGAACCCTTGTTTATACTCAATAAATGTGCAGTTAAGGGAGCATCATTCATATCTTTCCATTTATATACTGTGATAACCAGCAAAAGTGATTTGTTTTATTTTTACTCAAATAGGTATACTTGGATCTCAGAAGACTTGTCTTCATTCTTTGTTGACAATTTTGGATAAAGGAATAGGAACACTTGGAGGACCACAAGCATTGATAGAGACCCCAAAATTGTCAGAACTCTTTTATAAGTTGATTTATATGTTAGCTGCCAACAAAGATACCTCTGCAGCCATCTTAAGATATCTTAGAACATCCTGGGACTTTCTGTACAGACACCTCCAGCATGTGCCATTTAATGGTAAGTTATAATTTATTTTATTAAGTATTGATCAATATTAACATATTTAATTGCCATCTTACCTAATTAAATTGATGGCTATTGAGCTGAATTTTTAGTCATAGAACATAGAACTTATGTCATGTTTCTTAAAATTTGTCTGAATAGGCAATAAGTTTGAAACACTATGGAAAAGAGGGATGTGGTGTATCTCCATGACAATTCTACAACACACATGAAAAAGAGATGTGTAAAGGAGAATGGCTTTTATTACTCTTTATTTTAAAGTCACAGTGATGCCTTCAATATGGAGCAAAAACTCTCACATCATTGCAAGTTCAAGACAGGCCCATACACTTTCTTTTCTAGATGCTGATAACACTTCTGTGCATTGTGGAACACAGCTGTGGCCTAATATAAACAAATTATAAACCTCAACAGATTAGACACTTAATCTTAAAATGCAAAATGATTTCATGCTAAATTGAATGCTATTCTTGGAATGTTTTTAGAAAAACAGTAAGAAAATTCATGAAGTAAATGCATTGAAATAGTCAACACAAGTTCGTTGATACTATGAATATACTGCAAATAATTTCGACAGTTTGAAAAAAGGGCCAAACTTTTAAGTCATCTCAAAATGACCGAAATTGTGTAATGAAATTTCCTTGGTTATCTCAATAGTAGATTTCATATTGTAAAAATGTTAGGGCAAACATTCTTAGCACAGAGAACTTTTTTACTGTCTTCACTCAACACATGTAAACCAAGCAGGAATATTTTTATGCCCCATTTATGGGCGTTATGTTTTTCGGTCTGTGTGTCCGTTTGTTCGTCTGTTTGTCCGTCTGTCCCGCTTCATGGTTAAAGTTTTTGGTCAAGGTAGTTTTTGATGAAGTTGAAGTCCAATCAACTTGAAACTTAGTTCACATGTTCCCTATGATATGATCTTTCTAATTTTAATGCAAAATTGAGAGTTTTGACCCCAATTTCACGGTCCACTGAACATAGAAAATGATAGTGCGAGTGGGGCATCCGTGTACTATGGACACATTCTTGTTTTCAGTCAATTCAAAGCAAGAGAAAATTATTTTCATTAAAATTTACATCATACATGTCAAACTTGCTGAACATAAAGCCAGAATATTAATTTTAGCAGCTGAATAGGCCAGATTATTTATTTTTTATTTTATCAAAATGGAGACGAGATTATTTTTTTTAAAAAAAACCAAGGGACCCCACTCCCCCAGAAAAATCAAATGGCCAGTGCCTTAGTATTCCTACACAAGGAAATATTTCCTGGTATTCTAGCTACATTTTCATCTTTTCTTCACAATAATACAAGTACAAGAATCATGCAAATGTTAAGAAGAAAAGGCTTATTAGCTCATCATCAGTATACCATAAAAAAAATAGATATGACACTTTTTTTTAGCTCATCTGGCCTTAAAGGCCAAGTGAGCTTTTCTCGTCACTTGGCATCCGTCGTTATTAACTTTTACAAAAACCTTCTCCTCTGAAACTACTGGGCCAAATTTAATAAACTTGGCCACAATCATCATTAGAGTATCTAGTTTTAAAAATGTGTCAGATGATCCTGCCTGCAAACCAACATGGCCGACATGGCTAAAAATAGAACATAGGGGTAATATGCAAGTTTTATTTATTATTTTGAAATCTGCTATGAATTGTGAAAATCTGACTGGAGCAAAAATGTTCAGAATGGTAAGATCTATTTACTTCCAAACTGTCTAGAGGACTTCTTATATGAGTTATAGTCCTTAAATGACGAATTTTACCAATTCTTTTCATGTTTGCCTAATAGTTGAAAAACGATAATAGATAGGGAGAAACTTTGTATACTAAAAAGGATCAACAAGACAAGATCTACAAATAAGTCCCCCATGGTCAAAATCATTAGACGACTCCTTATTGGAGTTATTGCCCTATAAAGATTTTTGTCGAGCCTGCGACTTTTGTCACAGAAAGCTTGACAAAGGGATAGAACATGTCAGTCTGGCAGGTTTTATTTGACCTTGACATCATTTTCATGGTTCATTGGTCAATGTTAAGTTTTCATGGTTAAGTTTGTTTCTTAGATACTATAAGCAATAGGTCAACTATATTTAATGCATGGATTGATTGTAAGGTGTACATGTCTGTCTGGCATGGTTCATCTGACCTTGACCTCGTTTTTATGGTTCATTGGTCAATGTTAAGTTTTCCTGGTTAAGTTTGATTCTTAGAAACTATAAGCATAAGTTCAACTATATTTGGTGTATGGAATGATTGTAAGGTGTACATGTATTTCCAGTTTGGTTTATCTAACCTTGACCCCATTTTCTTGGATCATATTAAGTTTTTTTGGACTTCTGGTTTATGTGATACTCGTACTAAAGCTTTATATTTAGGACTATCAACTTAAAATCAATGGTCAGTAAAGCAGGCGAGACATTTCAGTGTGTGCACTCTTGTTGTGTTTTGGTCTGTTTTTCTTTAAGCAATAGGTCAACTATGTTTGGTGTATGGAATGATTGTAATGTTTATATGTCTGGCTGGCAGGTATCATCTGACCTTGACCTCATTTTCATGGTTCATTGGTCAATGATAAGTTTTTGTGGTTAAGTTTGTTTCTTAGATACTATATTTGATACATCAACTATATTTGATCCATGGAATGATTGTAAAGTGTACATGTCTGTCTGGCAGAGTTCATCTGACCTTGACCTCATATTCATGGTTCATTGGTCAATATAAAGTTTTCATGGTTTGGTCTGTTTCTTGTATACTATAAGCAATAGGTCAACTATATTCAATGTATGGAATGATTGTAAGGTGTACATGTATTTATGGCATGGTTTATCTGACCTTGACCTCATTTTCTTGGATCAGGATAAGTTAATGTGATACTTGTAGTAAAACTTCACATTTAGGGCTATCAACATAAAATCAATGGTAGTAAAGCAGGCGAGACATTTCAGCGTGTGCACTCTTGTTATCTTTTTTTTTTTGCATTTTTGTCTAATATCTGAAAAACTGTTATAGATAGATAGAGACTTAAATAAGCAAAAGTGAGCAACAAGACAAGATCTACATATAAGTTAACAGTCTTGAAATCATCTGACGACCACTTATTGGAGTTATTGCCCTTTGACAATGATTTTCACCATTTTTTGCGTTTTTGCCTAATATCAGAAAAACTATAATAGATAGATAGAAACGTAATTAAGCAAAAATGATTAGCAAGACTTGATCTACAAATAAGTCAATTAGCCAAAATCATCAGTCAACTCCTTATAGGAGTACTGGCTCTTTATTGACGATTTTTACTAATATTTTACATTTTTGCCTACTATCTTGAAAACTATAAAAGATAGATAGACACTTTAAATTGCAAAAATGATCAGCAAGACAAGATCTACAAATAAGTAAAATTTTGCCGAAATTGTTGGTTTACTCTTTATAGGAGTGATTGCCTTAAAAAGAATGATATTTTTTTACCGTTTTTTTTTTTTGCGTTTTGGGCAAAAACTTAAGAAAATAGAGGGAAATTGTAAACAGAAAAAATTATCAGCAATACAAGCATGACAAGATCAACAACAAAAAGATTTTTGTCATGAATTCTATTCTAGTCCCCAATGTTTGAAAGAGTCCATTGTTGAAGATGCTCATAGACCTAGATGAGCGACACAGGCTCTTTACAGCCTCTAGTTTTAGAGTACAAAACAGCCAGCACAAAAAAAGCCACAAAAAATTGTAACCTTTGAATTGTTGTCGCACACTAAAACCCCCATGGGCATGATGGGGATTTTCAAAAGTTGGCAGGTATGATAGAAGCTTTAAATAGCAAAAATGGTTAGCAAGACAAGATCTACAAATAATTCAACACTGTCGAAATTGTCAGTTGACTCCTTCTTGGAATAATTACTCTTTTATGACGATTTTAACATTTTTTTTGCTTTTTTGCCTAATTTTTTTAACACTATAAAAGATAGATTGACACTTTAAATAGAAAGAATTATCAGCAAGACAAGATCTGCAAATAAGTCAAATTTGTAAAAATCAATTGTAGACTCTTTATATGAGTGATTGCAATAACCGGTAAATGAAAAAAACTTTTCACCCTTTTTTGTGTTTTGAGCAAAAATTAAAGAAGTTAGAGAGAGGCTGTAAAAAGGAAAAATGATCAGCAATACAAGATCAACAAAAAAGAGCTTTTGTGATGAATTCTATTCTAGTCCACAATGTTGGAGAGTGTCCATTGTTGCACCTAGGTGCGCGACACAGGGTCTTTAGAGCTTCAAGTTAAGTATAAGTCTGGTTTGAAAATTTCAAATTGCTGTGATCATTCATGGAAACTGCAAGTTCTGGTTTGACATTCTATATTGAACAGATATATCATGTTAAGGAGGGGTATTTGCGAAAAATACCAGTCGAGAGAATGTTAAATTTCGCGAGCCGTAAGGCGAGGGAAATTCATTCTCAAGACTGGTATTTTTCGCAAATACCCCTCAAATACATGCTATATCTGTTTAATTACACCGAATGTTAACGTTCAAAAACGCATTGATGATCGTGACGTTACAAGCTTCCAGGCAAATACCACGGCAGAGAGGGTAAAAAAGGCATAGCCTTTTTGCATATACCCCGGTGGCATTAAAAAATGAACGATATTCATTTGATAACAGTAAATTGGTGAAAAATACACTGGCTATCAACCAATCAAAACCCAGGATTCTTACATAAGGTGTAATTATGCTTGCAATTTCAATTCTATTTATACAGAACAAGAGGTCGTGCAAACTAAATTGTAAATCATTATTTATTATTAAGCTCATACAGTTTCGAAGTTTCAATATTTTTATTTGCAGAATATAGGTTCACAAATGCTTCAAATCATCTTGTCCGATAAATTTCGATTATCAATTATGAAGATATCTCTGATCAGCCATTTCCACTATGTATATAAAAAAATATAAAGGCATCATATGTCTTTTAAAGATTCAGGAAACCTACAGAGCAGATAACAGTTAAGTTTTTTAAAACTCAGTGCCTTAAGGCTTTGCAGGGGCATACTAATGTCTAGTTACCTATGGTGTTGGTTTAAGCAGTTAAGACATATCTCTGCATTTATTTATTTTTTTATTTTAATCTTTTAGGTCCATTTGTGACAAACCACCAGTCTTGGTTACTGCGAACTGTAGCTATGGAGTTACGCTTGACAACTTTAAACCGTCAGAGGTCACACACACAGCGTCTAATGAAACTTTTACTTGATGATCATATTGATGATCCAGAACAAGGTTTATATGAATGCATAAATATTATTATCAAAATTGTTTTAAGTTTATGTAAATGTGTGAAGTTTACATATACATCTCTTGAGGGTGATGAGTTATATTTTTATCGCCTTTAATCAAAAATCTTTCATTGGGTTTCACTTGTAAATTTATTAAAAGATATTCTCTGATATTAATTTAATTATACCCAACTTTTGCCTTGATTGTCATACAGCATCTATATTCTTGAATTAAAGTGACAATGGTGGGAAACATGGCCACAGTTACTGTATAGAATAAAGCTCCAATATCTTTAAAATTCTTAACCAATGAATAGATTTCCATGAAGTTCTGACATTTCAGTATATCATAGCTTTCCTACTTCAGATAAGCTTTATATTTCAGAAGGTACTTCATATCTTGTATACAGATGCTTATCATCTGACATATGTCAGTTATCCTTGAATTCATTTTCATGTTGCAGCGACTGCCTAAAAAAAATTAAATTTTTTTTTTCATGAAGTAATTTTTTCAGAAATTATGGATGATAGAACAAATACCTTTAGTACATAGATTAATTTCAAGGAATAAATATCCTCCAGACAGGGTTCACCTGACCTTGACCTCATTTCGTGTGATCAACATTAAGTTTTCTAGAGTTAATTCTGTTTCTCAGATACGATAGGCAATAGTTCATCTTTATTTGGGGTATAACATGTTTGTATGGTGAACATGTTGGTCTCGCAGGTTCAACTGACCATGTTGAAATTGTGAATTGACTCCTTATAGGAGTTATTTGCCCTTAAATTGCAATTGTTAACCCCTTTTTATGTGTTGGTCAAAAACGATAGAAGATAAAGATAAACTGTAAACAACAAATTTGATCGGCTGCAAGACAGGATCTACAAATGGTTCAATAATGCCAAAATTGTAAATCCAGTACATCTAAAAGTTATTTCCCTTGAATGACGATTTTTACCCATTTTATGTGTTTTGGGCAAAAACAGATAAAACAATCAGCAAAACAAGATCAACAAAAAGGAGGTCTTAGTAATGAATTATATTCTATACTTTAATATTGGAGAATAGCCATTGTTGAAACTGCACATAGGTCCAGCCGAGCGACAATCAAAATTGACATAAAATTTGAAAAAGAAGGACTGTTAGAATGATTAATAATGTTTGCAGATATTCATTTTGGTATCCAAAAAATTGGAAAAAAATTAAAAATCAGATTTTTCAAAATATCAATTGAAAATTTTGTTCCAGATTGTAGTACATATGACTTCCTTTCCAGGTATACTTCCAGGTATTGATGAGACAGTAGACACAGGATTTGATAAATTTTCTGACACTTCCTATTTCCAGTCATCATTTCATTCACACACAACCAAACAGCTTCAAGGTAAGAACATCATATTTTGTGTATTGATTCATCATTGACCCCACTTACATTATAGGGACATTATCTGTCAAATTCATGTTCACCAATTTGACCCAAATTTTCATATCTGATTTATAACATACTGGAACCTATATTACAGAAAGTCCAAAAGAAACCATGCATGAACTCATTAAAATGTATCAGCATTGTGTGTGTATTTTAAACTAGACACCAACGAATTATCCATAGAGATGACCTCTGAAGACTGCCAACGGTCATTTTACCTGATATAACCATAAATTTAAATATAAATAAACAATCAACCCTTCCCTAATCTAGGACCGTTGTGTAAAAAAACAGCATATTAACAAACTGTAGAAATCAGTTGGAAAGGACTCGTTTGACTCATCAGATGGGCACAAAACTCACAATTCAAAAACCAAAAAAAACACAAATTTATTTTACTGTTTGTTTGGTTACTTTGGTTTATTTGGCCTTCAAGACTTCTTTACTTATTCAAAGAATGAAACGTATTAGAATACATTCATCAACAATAGATAAGTCAAGGTCCAAATCAGCCAAAATCTTAAATTAATTGTAACATTTTTAGACCGAGACAATCAAAGATCAACTAAAACCTCCAAATTCCCGAAACAACATAAAATCTTTTATCTTACCTCCTATGCACTTCTAGGAATATCATTGATTAAAAGCGAACATGTGGAGACCCTGTATATTCAATATGGGGTTAGTAGGCATGTTTTATTTTAATACACGATTAGTAGTGGTGTTATGTCCCTTTACAAAAATAACACAGCGTTGAGGAAAAATCTGAAACATTTCCCCCGGAAGACAGATGAAGAAATTGATGATGAATGATTGAAATAAATGCAGAAAACACATAAAAAGCTAACAAGTTGTTATTGTTTTGTATAGACCCAATGGAATTAGGTTCTTAATATCGAAGACTTGATCATGTTGATAGGCCATTAGTCTAAATGCCACTTGTTAAGATAGTCAATAAGGTGAATTCTTTACACAGTGTGCTAGTGACATAATAAGATATATATGGGGTCAGTAAATTCCATATATATCTCTTCCTATATATATGTAAGTACAAACTGAAATAAACTTTGCGCCTTAAACTGTTTATAATTCACGGTGTTATTAGAGATTTGATATTAACATGAATCTTAATTCGTTAATTATGGCTTCCAGGCGCAAGTTAAGAAATCATCCATATTCAAATACACAATTGGACTTTAGTAATCCAGAAAATTAGACATCCCAATAGTTCAGCAAAAAGTTGCAACAGTTGAGGATCGCAGTACCAAAAAATGTTTCAAAATCGATATTGAAACAATTTAGAAAACAAAGATCGCCAAAACAGTCGCGAAAGTATTGCTCATTCCGGGGATACTTCCAGTAAAAAAGAAACACTTGTTATACCTTTTATGCAGACTGCAGAAAGTAATTCCATCAGAAGAACCATTATATCCTAACAGAAGTATTACGCAATCCTCTAGTTGAAGAAAGAAGTTTGTGTAGCGATAGTATTGACCCAACAACCGAAAGTTTGTAAGTTGGAAGAGTCTGTGACAACAATATGGCTGCCATCATAAACTCTTTCAGCATAGTGTCACAATCTGTAGCACAATGCTTATCAAAAACTGATGGAATGTTAATGATATTGAAAGCAATAATGGCACAGACTAGGCTGGGTTGGTTTGTTCTGTCTTCATTGCAATTTGAGTTGTCCTTTTATGTATCTTCTTCCCCCTCAGAGTTATCAGCTCTTTGATTATTATTTGTTTCTGTGCCTTATACAAATGTCCAAGTAGGGCCTTTGCTGACATGTCAGTCTTCTAGTCCAAATTTTTTCCTATCATCACCTTAAAAACCAGGATGTAGCAAAGTTTTCCTCTTCATCTTCATACACTGAAATATAGTTCCCAATACTTTCCATGTCAATGTAAATATAAATCATTTCTCTTATTAGGTCGTCAGATAAGAAGGAAGATCTTAAGTCTGTTAGACTCTGTCGAATTCACTCAAGTATATCCTGAGCCTTTGACACTTGAGTATTTTGATCCTGGTATGATAGAACAAGTAATACAGAAAACAGAGTCAAAGACAGAAGATGATACTGTATACTGTAACGTTAAAGTGTTACACAGTATATTACTGAATGAATTGTCTAATGTCCAGAGCAATGTTATGGTGGCAAACAGACCTAGAATTCTAGAGGTAAGATGTCAGTTGTGTAATTACAAAGATTTTTATGCCCCTGCTGCAGAGGAGGGGGCACTAAGTGTTACCCTTGTCCATCTGTACATCTGTCCATACATACGTCCAGAAATTGGTTTCTGCTCTCACACTTGAGTTTGCCTCAACCAAATGCTATGAACCTAATACACAATGCTTATTACCAGAAAACTCAGATCTAGTTTGAATTTGGGTGGTGTCACTTTTACTTTGGTTAGTTTTCATAAGTAAACTCACTAATCAACATTCAGTAAACATGCTGAATTAATCCTATAATTTATCATTTATGTTGTGTATTATTCTATATCTTGTTGTTAAACTTCTTTTCCATTGGGTAATTCATTAGCTTTAAATCTGCAATATTTTAATTGTTTCTTTTTTTTCAGAATAAATAGACATTTTCCTTCAAAATGTCATAAATTTATCTGTCTCATTTCAACCCGTCAGGAGTATTATTCTCATCATACTGTGACACATAAGCAAATATATGAAAAAAATGTTACTCTTTTTTATACGCCCGTTTACTGGACGTATTATGGTATACCGTTGACCATGCGTCCGTCGTCAACATGTTGGACATTAATTCAAAAACGCCTTAACCAATATGCATGAAACTTTGGTGAATTGTTTATATCTATTGATGTGAGCTCCCTTTCATTTTTTTATAAATTTCAGATTTACCATTTCCGAGTTTTGGGGTTTTATTCATTAAAAAAGGGGGGATTTTCCTGTTGTCGGACAATAACTCAAAAACAATTTCACCAATTTGCAAGAAACTTTTGTGAATTGTTCATATCTATTGACATGAGCTCCCTTTCGTTTTTTTTATAAATTTAAGATTTACCGTTTCCGAGTTTTGGGGTTTTATTCATTAAAAAAGGGAGGATTCTCCATTTTTCAGACATTAACTCAAAAACAATTTCACCAATTTGCAAGAAACTTTGGTGAGTTGTTTATTTCTATCGACATGAGCTCCCTTTTGATTTTTTTCTAAATTTCAGACTATACGTTTCTGATTTATGGGGTTTTATTCATTACAAAAAAGGGGATTTTCCAGTTTTCGGACAATAACTCAAAAATGCTTTCAGCATTTTTTATGAAACTTTGTTAAATTGTTTATATCTATTTTTGTAAGCTCCCTTTTGATTTTTATAAATTTTTGATTTTATGTTTCAGAGTTATAAGATTTTATTTGTTTATAGTCTGACAACAGATTTACTAAGTATTACGCAACAGCACAGTGTATTGCACAACAGCAAGAAATCTTTCATATAACCAATTTCAAGTTCTTTGACTACATTTATTCAGAAACCTATAATATATCAATATTTAATTACAATCCAAATTCAGACCTGTATCAAGCTTGAATATTGTGTCCATTTTTGCCCCAACTGTTCAGGGTTGGACCTCTGCGGGCATATCCAGCTGCCCTCAGCGAAGCAGTTTATTATATTTGCCATAATAAATTCTTTACTTGATGTTATTCAATGTTCATAATAACCGTAGTTGATTAGCTCGACCTAGGATGCTTGGTTGCCATGATGTGTTGCTAAGGTGGGGCATACCAGTGAATTGTGGAAAGATGTCCACAGCACAACACGGTTGATGGAGGAGAGGGGGCATAGTAATACCAGGTGTCAGTTCGTCAGTCTGTCTGTCTGGTCTTGTAAGAGCTTTTACGTGTGCAATTCCTCCCAATATTATAAGAAATTTATATCAAAGGTTTATATCTGCAATGTCTTGGGATAAGTTCCAAAATCTGTACAGATGAACTATTTTTAAAGGAGTTTTTCCCCTTGGAAATAGAAATTACTGTGAAAGTACTTTAATTCGTGGGGTACCAATTTTCGTGGTTTTCATGGAAGGCTTCATCCACGAATTTAAGTGTCCAACGAAATATAACAACTGTTTTCCAAATAAAGACATGGAAAGATCCCCTGTAGGTTAGACTACATTGATACAGGCATATAATCTAGAGAAAACACCAAATATCAGCAAACGAAATATGAACTATATGCAGTGGCGTAGCACCAGAGTAGCATGAACTTCAGACAGGAATTTAATCTTTAAATAACCTAAGTTGTACGACTTTTAACCTTTTAATTATCGTGAAAAAAAAATTTTGAAAGATGAAAGTTAGACTTCCGGTTGAGGTATATGATGATGAAGTGTTCACTTTCACCTCATAATTCTCTCACGAAAAATAATATCAATTTCATATTGGGCTTGCTTTTTTATTTCATCAGTATTATTTCATAAGTATTAATTCAAAGAACATTTGTAGCATATTGTATGAAACCTTTTTCTTTAAATGACATGTTTATGGCCCAATTAACACCTTTGATGATCATTAATCTATTGATCATTCAATCTCGAGTTAATTAATAACATAAACGGGTACCAATTTTCTGCACCAGATGCACATTTTGACAATCAATATCTCTTCAGTGATGCTCGAGGCCAAAATATTTGAAAATCCAAATCTTATTAAAAAGATGAAGAGCTATAAAACAAAAAAGAAAAAAAGTATAGCCAAATTAGTGTCACCACTTCTGGTTACACGTGTTCAACAATTATAATGTTTACTTTGCAATTTCCTTCAATGAGACCATTTGTATTCAGAGATGAATCAGCTTATTTCTGAAAGCAAATATTTTATTAAAAATCTGATGAATGTTGTCAGAAATGAAAGATGAACATGTAAGTGAAAATGAACACCGTATGATTATTTTCAAGAATCTATGTTTCTGACGGGTTCAAATTCTCCACCCAAATTTTTTTTTCAGAAAACTAAAAATCCACAAATTTAAAAACCCACGAACATGCAACTTTTGTTCAATCCCCGAAAATTGATACCCACGAATAGAAGTACTTTCACAGTATAGAAAAAATAACAATGTTTGCAATTTCATGCCGCTTCTTTCATCAGTTTATTAATACTATTATAAGTTTAATGATATTTCATCTTCCATTATTGTTTTTGTCTCGAGTCTTACATTTTGTTCAGTAGATATGTTCAAATCGTGATTTTCCACTTGATCAATCATCAAAGATGTATACAAACAATAAACATGACAGTCTTACTGATTTACAAACACATTTTAATTAAGGAAACTCATTTTGAAGCACAATATAAGCATAAAATTTGAAATTTTTTATCCATCCCCCCCCCCAATTTTTTTTTTTAATTGTAATTCATTATATTTGTGTTTATTTTTGTTCATTTTTCATTGAGGGGATTTAAAAATATATTTGAGTTCCCAATATTTGAAATCAATTGATTTTGACTCTTTATAGTTGTAATTTTTGATAACCAGGGCTTTGACCCTAATTTTTAAATAATCAAATGGTCAGTTTTGGTCAGAATAGTTTTAAATGGCATTTGATATGCGCAGATTTTGCGCATCTACTTTTAATTTAATTTTTTTTTGTAGGAAGTTCAAGGAATTTTGAAGAATGTTGTTTCCCGTAATGGTGTGCGAAAAAGTTTGTCTGTTAAGCAGCAATCCTATGATGCCTGGAGACAAGTTGCAGAAATTTGGTTAACTTCCTGTCCAGAAGATCTCATGCCTAGGGAAATTAGACAAACTGTGTTGTTTGAGCTTCTGCAAGAGTTACTAAGCAAAGTACTTGATTATTCTTCATATAGAAATATTGTCATTTCTCTGTATTCTTGACCCACAGTAAAACTCTTGCCAAAGTGAGATGCCACTTTGGCTGTACTGCATTTATAAATTCACAGCCACGTCCAGTCAGAATGTGGACTTTAAATCTGATGCCTCGTGTAGAGAGAGTGCAGACCTTGCAGCAACTCTGTGAGGATTCTGTAGGTGGTCTGTTGCAAGGCATAATTTCTGTCCCTATCCAATTTACCCTCATTTTCCAGGGGCCTTTCAAATTTACCCTCATCCCAGCCAACCCCTAAAACAGGTGCCTACCTATTGTATTAATTGTTAATTTGTTTTGACCCTTTAACATGCATGAGATATTTGCCACTGGACATAATGCAAACAACAATCAATCAGGCAATATTTATACCCCCGCTTTAAAAAAGTGGGGGTATACTGTTTTACCTCTGTCTGTCCGTCCATCCGTCAGTCCGTCTATCCATCGGTCCGTCCGACCCATGAATATTTTTCATCGCATCTTTCTCAGGAACTACAATACAAGGATTTCTGAAATTTGGTTTCAGGGTTTATATAAGTCAGCTATACCGTGTGATGCATTTTCAGATTCATCACTCAACAACTTCCTGTTTACCGAACACTTGTATCATTTTACACATAACATCCAAGTTGAAAATTTTCAACACATTTTTCTCAAGAACTACATTAGAAGGATTTCTGAAATTTGGTTTCAGTGTTTATGGGGGTATACTGTTTTACCTCTGTCTGTCCGTCCATCTGTCAGTCTGTCCGTCCATCCCATGAATATTTTTTCGTCGCATCTTTCTCAGGAACTACAATACAAGGATTTCTGAAATTTGGTTTCAGGGTTTATATAAGTCAGCTGTACCGTGTGATGCATTTTCAGATTCATCACTCAACATATAATTTAACTCAGTTTCTAACGGATCATAGATTTATTCTTACGAGGAAGCTCCGAGCATGCTCGGAAGATGCTCGGAGCTTTTTAAGTAGGCTCTTCTCAGCAGTTTATGTGACAATAATTATCAAGATCTATTAAGATGTCAATCAAATCTCTAGCACTTCTATAATAAGGAAAGTAAAGCATTATAGAGGAAGCTCAATTAACACCTGTGTAAACATCTGGTATATTCAAATACATTTTGCATGAAATTTACAAAACTATAAAATAGATTAGAAATTCTTCAACAGTACTGTGAAATGCTTGGAAAGAAATGTCAAGTCTCCAAAAAAAGTAAAAGTCATTAAAATAGTTTCTTATTATATTGAATAACCATTCTTTTTTAGTAATAAAAAAAATCTTAAATTTTATAATTAGATTATATAATTTAGATATAGTTTATACTATATAATATGCTACATAAAAGTCATCAAAACACAAACAACAGTCAGGGGGCGATACTAATCAAGTTAATTTTTTTTTAGTTACTTATAATTTTTTTCGTTTTTAAAAATTATTTAATAACTCAATAGTTATTTTAAATGTCAATAGTAGCATGGACTAAATGTAGTTTTTAAGAATTTTTATATAATTTTATTAAATAAAATTAAGTATTTATCAAATGTGAGATGAGTATAGAGATAAAAGGTTACTTTAAAAATAAGGACAAAATTATTACTTTTATAAATTATTTTATACATCTTTGAAAAACTTAGAACTTATAATTATTTATGGAATATATGTTATTGTTTTAGATTACACATTATAAATAACTTCAAGTCTTAATTAAATCACAAGGTTTCATCTATTTATATTTGTCTACCATTAAGATTTTAAAGGAAAATGGTATTCTAATAGTCCCAAGAGGACAATCTTTGACCCAGAAGCGTGGCTCAGAAAGTCAATTAGTGTTTCAGGAGGATTTGTTTTATATTTCATGGGAAAAATAACCAGATGTCTGTGAAAATTTGTTAAAGCTATTAAAACCTGTATGAATGGACACATATAAAAATAATATTAAAATAAGTTACTTATACATGAAATAGAAGTCATATATGATATAGCATCGTTTTCAACATAAATTGCATAGGTAATTTTGAAAAATAATTGTTTAAGTAATGCCCCTAACTAAACAATGGTAATATGTTGTTTTTTTTATATATATAAAATAGCAAACTTAGTTCTTTTATAGAAAATTATGGCTACTTTAGGAAAAGTTGTAATTCATTATTGGAAGGCTGGTTTGAGGGGGTAATATCACTATTGTTTTTCCCCTAGTACGTCTCTGTTTAATTGACTTTTTAGCTCACCTGACCTGAAAGGTCAAGTGAGCTTTTCTCATCACTTTGCGTCCGTCGTCCGTCGTCCTGCGTCCGTCGTCCGTCGTCCGTAAACTTTTACAAAAATCTTCTCCTCTGAAACTACTGGGCCAAATTTAACCAAACTTGGCCACAATCATCATTGGGGTATCTAGTTTTAAAAATGTGTGGCGTGACCTGGTCAACCAACCAAGATGGCCGCCACGGCTAAAAATAGAACATAGGGGTAAAATGCAGTTTTTAGCTTATAACTCAAAAACCAAAGCATTAAGAGCAAATCTGACATGGGGTAAAATTGTTCATCAGGTCAAGATCTATCTGCCCTGAAATTTTCAGATGAATCGGACAACCCGTTATTGGGTTGCTGCCCCTGAATTGGTAATTTTAAGGAAATTTTGCTGTTTTTGGTTATTATCTGGAATATTATTATAGATAGAGATAAACTGTAAACAGCAATAATGTTCAGCAAAGTAAGATTAACAAATAAGTCAACATGACTGAAATGGTCAGTTGACCCCTTTAGGAGTTATTGCCCTTTATAGTCAATTTTTAACAATTTTTCGTAAATCTTAGTAATCTTTTACAAAAATCTTCTCCTCTGAAACTACGTGGCCAAATTAAACCAAACTTGGCCACAATCATCATTTGGTTATCTAGTTTAAAAAATGTGTGGCGTGACCCGGCCAACCAACCAAGATGGCGGCCACAGCTAAAAATAAAACATAGGGGTAAAATGCAGTTTTTGGCTTACAACTCAAAAACCAAAGCATTTAGAGCAAATCTGACATGAAGTAAAATTGTTTATCAGGTCAAGATCTATCTGCCCTGAAATTTTCAGATGAATCGAACAACCTGTTGTTGGGTTGCTGCCCCTGAATTGGTAATTTTAAGGAAATTTTGCTGTTTTTGGTTATTATCTTGAATATTATTATAGATAGAGATAAACTGTAAACAGCAATAATGTTCAGCAAAGTAAGATTAACAAATAAGTCAACATGACTGAAATGGTCAGTTGACCCCTTTAGGAGTTATTGCCCTTTATAGTCAATTTTTAACAATTTTTCGTAAATCTTAGTAATCTTTTACAAAAATCTTCTCCTCTGAAACTACGTGGCCAAATTAAACCAAACTTGGCCACAATCATCATTTGGTTATCTAGTTTTAAAAATGTGTGGCGTGACCTGGTCAACCAACCAAGATGGCCGCCACGGCTAAAAATAGAACATAGGGGTAAAATTCAGTTTTTGGCTTTTAACTCAAAAACCAAAGCATTTAAAGCAAATCTGACATGAAGTAAAATTGTTTATCAGGTCAAGATCTATCTGCCCTGAAATTTTCAGATGAATCGGACAACCCGTTGTTGGGTTGCTGCCTTTGAATTGGTAATTTTAAGGTAATTTTGCTGTTTTTGGTTATTATCTTGAATATTATTATAGATAGAGATAAACTGTAAAAAACAATAAATGTCGGCAAAGTAAGATCTACAAATAAGTCAACATGACCGAAATTGTCAGTTGACCCCTTTAGGAGTTATTGCCCTTTATAGTCAATTTTTAACCATTTTTTCGTAAATCTTAGTAATCTTTTACAAAAATCTTCTCCTCTGAAACTATTGGGCCAAGTTAATTATAGATAGAGATAATTGTAAGCAGGAAAAATGTTCAGTAAATTAAGATGTACAAACACATCACCATCACCAAAACACAATTTTGTCATGAATCCATCTGAGTCCTTTATTTAATATTCACATAGACCAAGGTGAGCGACACAGGCTCTTTAGAGCCTCTAGTTTTTTAATTGTGTAGAATTTATCTTTGTTTTAAATAAAGAGATATTTGGCATGAGTAAAGTTTTATCCTGTCAATTACTACAGGGAAAATTTAACATAAAATTGTTTTTCCCCATAAGTCTTTATTTAATTTGCCTTTTTTTTATTAAATGTGATGAATTTATCTATGTTTTAAATAAAGAAATACTCTACATGAGTGAAGTTTTATCCTGTCCAGTACTACAGTGAAAATACAACATAACTTTTCATTGCAGATAAGATATTAAACGTCACCAGAAGTTAACCAGTCAAATTCCTCTCCCCCTTTGTTTTCCTGTTTACCAGCTTTAGTAGCAATGTCCCCTTAAATTTCCAAAAATATTTTATAGCAACACCAACAGAATTTTTTATTGCTTTGAAACACCAAAGATACATGTTAACGACCCCAAAAAAAACTTTCTGCAATGAAATGCAGGGTTAATTTCCAACAACTGTCAACAATGGTCAAATCAAATGGAATATAAAAAAAAATCAACCATTTTTGGCTTGAAACTGAATGTACTATATTTTGGTGGTATTACACCTGAAAGAATTTTGACAATATAACGGAGTAAACTAAATGGATTTTAGTTCAGCAATCCTCTATTTCCTTTTCTCGAATGACTTTTTAATATATATAAACAACTTCTATCAAAAGGAAAGTAAAGCAATGTAGAGGAAGCTCAGTTAACACCTGTATGTAGAAAGTCATTATAGGCCTTTATCAGTACATACTATCAATATAAAACAGATCCTAAAAATATAAATATATATACTAAAAAAAAATTCTATAAGATTCAAACTAGTTATTTTTTTTTCTTTTAAGCTTCATGAGTATAATTATAAAAAAAAAAAACATAAATCAAAGTTAGTAAGAATTTCAGGCATAATTATGTTCATTAGTATAGGACAT